GAGGATCTCTGAGACAACCTAACATTTTGTGCCTCCAAATACGGTGCAAGAAGAAAGGCCTAATATCACCTGTGAGTATTTTTGCCAAAAGTGTTTAACCTGAAACCAATTATGAGCAAATAATCAGTCAAATCCAGAATGTGGGACATTTTACAAGACATCTTCTCTGCACTCTTCAATAAAAGTCAATTTCATGGTAAATAAGCAAACAAATAACAGGATTAGAGAATATTGCTCTAAATTAAGAGACTACAGAAGCATAACAACCACATAAAATGTGTTGGATCTTAAATTTAAAAAAGAAAAAAAGGAAGAAAAAGCAGCTATAAAAGCATTTTGAGGGAATTGGGAAAATCTGAATATGTAGTATATGTTAGATGATATTAAGGAATTTCATAGGCCTGATAATGATATTGTTCTTATGTAAAAGTGTCCTTATTCTTCACAAGGTATGAGGAAGTGTTCAGGGTGAAGTGTCATTCTAGCTGCAATTATTTCAAATGGTTCCACCCACAAAGCACATAATATGCACATATACATATACCTCCAACCAACCAACCCAAACACGTTAAATGCCAAAACTATAAGATGCCATCAAATAGGGAAGCATGCGTGTGTCTTGCATTTACCCATTGTATCAATCTAGGTGCAGTCAGAAAAACAGGAGCCATTCCACGTATTTCAAGTATGAAAGGCTTTAATGTAGAAAAGTAAAGGTTTGTAGAACTGTTGCAAGGGCTGGAGGAGTGACCATCTCAGCTTGCAGTTCTGAAGGACTGATTCTCAAAAGCTCACCTGTAAGCGGCTACAAATGGGAACCTCACCTAACGATCTCAACCAGCAATATCAAAGCATGTAATTCCTAGGAAGGCCAGTCAGAAGCTGCTTTAAACTCCAAGTCTGGCCATGCTTCTGTCTGCAACTGCCAATGAAAGGTAATGGCCTCTCCTCTTCCATCTCACATTGGCTGACTCTAACTTAGGCCCAGAGAGAGGAGGATTCTGGGAAATGTAGTTCCAAGTGTTTTCTCTGCATCCCACAAAAGACCTTACAAGGAACAGTGAGGATGATTTGCAAACAGACAATCCAATGCAGCTGTGTTTTATAGCATAGCCTCTTTCAGTTTGAGTTATCAGGAAAAAACAAACATATTAGAGCACCAGAAATGCTTTCTGTTATTGTGGAAAAATATACATAAATAAAAATGATCATTTTAACCAATTTTAAGTGTACAATCCAGTAGCATTAACTACTTTCGCACAGTTGTGCAACATCACCACTACGCATCCCCAGAACATTTTCATCTTTCCAAACAGTAACTGTGTACCCAGTAAACAATAACTCCTCATTCTCCACTTCCCAAACTACGGCCCAAGGGCCACATGTGGGTGTTTTTGCCCGTTTGTTTTTTTACTTCAAAATAAGATATGTGGGCCTGGCGCGGTGGCTCACGCCTGTAATCCTAGCTCTCTGGGAGGCCGAGGCGGGCGGATTGCTTGAGCTCAGGAGTTCGAAACCAGCCTGAGCAAGAGCGAGACCCCTCGTCTCTACTATAAATAGAAAGAAATTAATTGGCCAACTAATATATATAGAAAAAAATAAGCCGGGCATAGTGGCGCATGCCTGTTGTAGTCCCAGCTACTTGGGAGGCTGAGGCAGAAGGATTGCTTGAGCCAGGAGTTTGAGGTTGCTGTGAGCTAGGCTGACGCCATGGCACTCACTCTAGCCTAGGCAACAAAGTGAGACTCTGTCTCAAAAAATAAATAAATAAATGAATAAATAAATAAATAAATAAATAAGATATGTGCAGTGTGCATAGGAATTTGTTTATAGTTTTTTTAAACTATAGTCCGGCCCTCCAACGGTCTGAGGGACAGTGAACTGGCCCCTGTTTAAAAAGTTTGAGGACCCCTGCCCTAGACTGTGGAAACTACGATTATACTTTTTATCTCTACAAATTTGACTACTCTAGGTGCCTCATACAAGTGGAATCACAAATTTGTTCTTTTGTAACTTGCTTATTTCACTTATCATAATGTCTTCAAGGTTCAGGCATATGTCAGAATTTCATTTGTTAAGGCTAAATAGTATTCCATTGTATGGATATACCACATTTTGTTTACCCATTCATCTGTTAATGGACATTTGGGTTGTTTTTACCTTTTGGCTATTGTGAATAACGTTGCTATGAACATGGGTGTATAAATATCTGTTTTCTATTCTTTTGGGTATACACCCAGAAATGGAATCACTGGATCATATGGTAATTCTACGTTTACTTTTTTGAGGCGCAGTCATACTGTTTACCATAGTGGCTGCACTATTTTACATTCCCACCAGCAATGCACTAGGGTTCCAACTTCCCCACATCCTCACCGATACTTATTTTGTGTTTTATAATTTAATTTTTAAAAAATAACAGCCAACCTAATGTGTGTGAAGTGGCTAGAAATACTTCTTTTGAGAGATAGGAAACCATGGAAAACATGACCTTAGCTGTGCTCGATCTGCCGTAGTGAAAAATCCATTAATTCTTTTTTGTTTGTTTTTGAAACACAGTCTCACGCTGTCACCCGAGTAGAGTGCAGTGGCATCATTGTAGCTCACTGCAACTCCAACTCCTAGGCTCAAGCAATGCTCCTGACTCAGCCTTCCAAGTAGCTGGGATTACAGGTGGGCACCATGACCATCAGCTGATCTATTTTTTAGAAGAGATGGGGTCTTGCTCTTGTTCAGGCTGTTCTCAAACTCCTGAGCTCAAACCATCCTCCCACCTCGGCCTCCCAGGGTGCTAGGATTACAGGTGTGAGCCACCGCACCTGACCAAGCCATTAATTCTTGAAATCTCACTATTGAAATCTTGCTTTCTTTGATATGACAGTTACAGAATGCCTGGTTTTTAAAACATCTTTGAGATATAATTCACATAACATAAAATCCACCAGCCTGTGCATACAAATAACCAAAATCCAAATTTTCATGGCTCTCTATTCCCATTTTCATTCATCTCTTGAAAACACCCCCTTCTCAAATACTCTGAGTCTCCCTTCTGCTTTGATAACTATAGTTTTCTGCCTGAGTTGTAGTTCCTGTTGCTTTTTTATTTTCAAATACATTTTCTCTTAGTCTTCTCAGCCATTATGCAAATAGACCCCAACTGGGCTTGCCCTGTGCCCATGGGCAAGCCAGCTTAGGTTCAACTTTAGATTCCTGTTAAACTGAATTCTCATTTTCGATCCCAATCTACTCTTCCAGTAGGCTCCCATTGTTGGTGAGAGGAACATTCACCAACACTTAATTGCCCAGAAACCTGGGAATCATCTGAATTCCTTCCTCTCCCTCATCCAATCAGTCACCAAGTGCTATTAATTCTGCTGCCTTAATATCCCTCAGATATTTACTTACCTTCCAACCCTCACCTCCACACCTTCCTCAGGCCTTCATTACTGGATTAATTACCTGGGTCACTGAAATAGCCTTAAATAGTCTCCCTTCTCTCTTGCCACCCTCCTGAGTGATCGATCATGTACCCTTCAGTGACTGCTTGCACAAGGCAGTGACATTGAAGCTGTTCAACAGGGACTACTATTGTCTTCTTAAATCCATTCTCCTCTTCTTCCTGAGTAATAGAGTCCTTTTGCAGCTGGACATATAGCCACCCAGAATAAAAACTACATTTCCTACCCTCCTAGTCAGCTACCCAGTGTAGCCGGGTGACTAAGCCCTGGCCACTGGGATGTCAGTAAAAGTGGTAAGAGAACTATCTGGGATGTGGCTTTAAAGGGAGGGAACGCATCCTTTTCCTTTTCTTCCTTCCTCTCCCTGGGAGGTGAACTTGATGGCTGGAGCTGGAGCAGCTGGAACTTGGGTGTGAGCCTCTTGTTGAGGATAACAGTGCAATAAGACGGAAGGAGCCCGGGGTGGCTATATTCACATGAGAGAGAAAAATAAAATTCCATTTGTTTAAGCTATTCTCTATCTCTCTCTGTCATTTGCAGCCAAGCCTAATACAAACTAAGTCTAAAAAAGATGAATAAATGTTTACCAAGAGATAGACTATTTCAAGCAGTGGGAACAGCGTGCATACACGGCCAGGGGTCTGAAGAGGTGGTGTGCTCAGGGAATGCCAAGGTTTTGTGTGGCAGGAGATGAGACAGCACATGAGCTGGGATAAGCCATCGTAGAGGATGAATTGAACTGGGAGGACTGTGGCAGAGACCTGTTGGGGGTTATGAACATGATCAAGGTGGGAGGTAACTGGGGCTGTGACTGTGGTGGAACTAGAGGAGAGGGGATCTATTCAATACACATTTAGGGGCAAGAATCAGGAGCTTATGCATGCATGTGCATGAGTACACTACACGGAGTAGGCATGTCATCGGAGAAGGATCTGGGCTTTTTGGCTTGCCTGCCTCAGAGGCCCTATGCATGGCGTTCAGCCTTTCTCCATGACGAGAGTCCTCCTCTTGCTCCAATTCCGTAGGTCCCATCTCATCTTCACCCTGCCTGGTGTCGTTTGCTCCAGGACTACTGCATGATGTGGGGAGGTCTTTAACCCTTTGAATGCTGGCTCCTCCCTAGCTGCCTGAATAGCCTATGGTGGAGCTGGGAAGGGCTGCTGAGGTTCTAGTTGCCAGCTGGCAACTGTCCCTATCTGGCCAGCTGGGGCACAGTGCCTCTGGGCAGTTGTGTAAGAGAGGGTCCCTTGGCAGACAAACAGGCTCCTCGCTACTGATGGGCCAGCCAGCAGGTTGGTGAAGGTCGTGGGGCTGGGGGAGAACTGGGTGAGGAGTTCAGCCCCATTCCTAGTAAAGCTTTCCAGGAAGCCCTTCTCTACTGGGAAAGCTTCTTGATACCGAGGCACTCATTAACTCTCTGGGTACCAGGAATCGGGCAGGAGGTGAGCTCTGGGAAGCAGCTGAGGTCAACCTTCTTTGAACTTCCACGTGGTATTTACTCAGGGCAATTGTTGCCAGAGGCCGAGGCCCCTGGAGTATAAAGCAGAATGTCTGCTCTCTGTGTCCATAACGGAGCAGGTGAGCAGCCAGGACAGAGGGAGGGAGATCGGAGGCCCAAGGGAAAGGATTGCAGGGGGCCTCATGAGAGAGCAGGTGGGAGGGGCAACCAGGACATCCTCTTGGAGCACTGGGGCAGAGTTGCTTCTTCCCCCTTGATATGTCTCAGTTTTCCCACCATGAAATGGGAGTCGGGAAGATAGGTGAGCAGGGGAGAGGTGGCAGGGCAGCCTAGGGAGCTGCTCCTGGGGTCTGGGAAAGGTGGTGGTGGGGGGAAGCTTTGCAAAGCTCCCCACTGTGTGACTGGAGTGAGAAAGGAGCAGCCTCCCCCATGTCTGAGGACACGCCTTCCCTCCCAGACTCACCTTGAACCCCAACAGCTTTGTGCTCCCGACACTGCACGGAAGGGTTAACAGGATTGGGGGCAGGTTGCCCCTGGAGCAAGTTCCCTAAGAGATGTCCCTGCCTTTTCTTCTTCACCCTAAGTGGGCCCCCATTCTTCCTTCTCAGAGCTGATAATGGCAAGCACGGCTGCAGTCCTCACTTGGGCTCTGGCTCTCCTCTCAGGTGGGTCTCTGATCCTGACTTTAATGTGGGGGTGTGGTGGAGGCTGTACTGAGGGGCCTGTCCACCTCCGGGGAGGAGAACTCAGCCCTTAATCACCCCATCCCTATCCACAGTGCTTTCAGCCACCCAGGCCAGGAAAAGCTTCTGGGACTACTTCAGCCAGAGCAGCAGGGACAAAGGCAGGGTGGAGCACCTCCAGCAGCAGAAGCTGGCACGGGACCATGTGTGAGTGGCGAGGGCAAGGGGTGTGGGAGAAGGGAGGAGACAGCCTGGGGGCGTGGGGTATGCGCTGCCTCTGAAGCTTCAACCTTCATGGTCCCCATGGAGACACAGGAACAGAGTGGCACTAGCTCCACCCCATTCCCCCCGCAGTCCAGGGCTCTTCAGTCCCCTGCCCACAGCCCCCACCTTGACGTTGCTACAGCTGCTGTCCCCTTGCTCACTGAGGCGTGGCACCTGGGATTGGAGAGGAGAGGAGCCCCACTGGATCTCCCATAATGAAAGGATGGTGTGGCAGTCTTGGGGCATCTGTGCTTGCTTGGACAGTGTTATAGGTCTGGATTTGCACAAGCAATGTGTTTGCACATGCGAGGAGTTGAGGGTGGCCGGGGCATAGCACTAGAGCACTCAACCCTGGGGCTGGCGACCAGCATCCTTAGTTTCCCCAGAGGATGGGTGTGCGATATCTCTGGGGCAAAGGAGATGATAGGGGCTACAGGTCTGATGGCCTGGATGTCTGTCCCCTTCCCCAGGAGGCTGAAAGACAACCTTGAGCAAGACCTCAACAACATGGACAAGTTACTGGAAAAGCTGGGCTCTCTGAGTGGGCAGGGGAGGGAGCCCCCTCCGCTCCCACGGGACCCGGTGGGCATGCGGCAGCAGCTGCAGGAGGAGTTGGAGGAGGTGAGGACCCGCCTGGAGCCCTACATGGCAGAGGCGCACGAGCTGGTGGGCTGGAATTTGGAGGGCTTGCGGCAGCAGCTGAAGCCCTACACGATGGATCTGATGGAGCAGGTGGCCCTGCGCGCACAGGAGCTGCAGGAGCAGTTGCGCTTGGTGGGAGAAGACACCAAGGCCCAGCTGCTGGGGAGTGTGGACGAGGCGCGGGGCTTGCTGCAGGAACTGCAGAGCCGCGTGGTGCACCACACGGGCCGCGTCAAAGAGCTCTTCCACCCCTACGCCGAGCGCCTGGTGAGCGGCATCCAGCACCAAGTGCAGGCGCTGCACCGCAGTGTAGCTCCGCACGCCGCCGCCAGCCCCGCGCGCCTCAGCCGCTGCGTGCAGGAGCTCTCACGCAAACTCACGCTCAAGGCCCAGGCTCTGCACGCGCGCATCCAGCAGAACCTCGACCAGCTGCGCAAAGAGCTCAGTAGAGCCTTTGCCAGCGCCAGCGCGGACGGGGCTGAGGAAGGGGCCGGCCCAGACCCCCAGGTGCTCTCCGATGAGGTGCGTCAGAGACTTCAGGCTTTCCGCCACGACACCTTCCTGCAGATCGCTGCCTTCACTCGCGCCATCGACCAGGAGACTGAGGAGGTCCAACAGCAGCTGGCGCCGCCCCCGCCAGGCCACAGCGCCTTCGCCCCCGAGTTCCAACAAGCAGACAGCAGCAAGGCCCTGAGCAAGCTGCAGGCCCGTCTGGACGACCTGTGGGAGGACATCACCTACAACCTTCATGACCAGGACCACGGCCACCTGGGGGGGCCCTGAGGGTCTACATGTCCAGGCTCACTTCCCAGCTCTATGTCGGGGGAGTCCTGGACCAGGGCCTCTTGCATGGCTCAGTCCTTGAAAGTGGCCTGTTGGGTGGATGGTGGAGGGTCCTGCACAGGATAGGTGAGGCCACGGAGAGAGCTACTCACCCCAGCATATCCAGCCTCCTGCGACTCCCCATCTGGATGCATTACACTCACCAGGCTTTGCAAACCCAGCTTCCTGTGCTCTTTTGAAAATACTCCTGAGTGGCTCTCTTCAGGGGTGAGGGAGTGTGGAGGGAGAGGCACTATACGTGCAGGTAATTACCTGCAAGCCTGTGCCACTTCTGGAATTTGGCTCCTGTCATTTCTAACTGTTTGGTGGCCACTGCTAGGGCTGGTCCACAAAGAGCACTTGTCTCCCCAGGGCTGCCATGACAGCTCCTATCAGGAGAACAGACGGGAGAAAAGAGTGAAATATGATGGGGAAAGCATCTGATGGTATGTGTGTATATATCCCTGCTGGCTCTGATGCTGGTGGGTATGTATGGTGGGGGCTGCAATGGGAGAGGACGGATCCCATATTTCCTTACATAGCTCTGCACTTAAGTATGGGACTGAGCCCTCTAAACTCTAGGGGCTTCTTAACCTCTGGGGAGCATACTGTGTGCCCTCCCCATCTCCAGCCTCTCCCTCCTGACTCCAGGCTGAAGTCTAGACTTCTGGCTCAAATGAAATCAATGCTAATGATGGAAGTTTGTTTGCCTAGAATGACTCTCAGTCGGACCATGTCTGAAGCAGTGACCTCACCACTGTGCCAAAAGCACCCTCATCATCCACTCCATTTCCTTGCTGTTCTTTCTTAGTGACCCCCTCCCAGCCTAGGTCTGTCAGCGGAGCTGTGGCTGGGTTCTGCTTCAGGGTACCTGGCTAGACAACAGCTGTCACACCTAGGGTGTGGGCTTGAGTTAGAGATCCTCCTTCTGCACCTGCATGGCTCACCAGCCTGCTGACCACAGGATGGTGTAAATGAAATGCATGCTGTCGCTAGAGGAACTGTGGCCCTGGTGGACCTGAGACTCCTGGGGTGGTCTGTCTCCTTTGTTCCAGACTTTAAATGGTCTCTTTTTATGACTAACTCTCTTCTTGGGACCCCCACACTCTTAACCCTCCCCTCCATAAACACACTTATTCAGGGACACCAAAGTTCCTTATAGATCCCCTGGGCACTGTGCAGTTGGAAGTGAGAGGTTGGGGGAGAGGAAAGGGTAAACCTGTCCCTTTCCCTTTGCACCTTCCTGTCCAGCACTCTTTCCTCCCAGGTCAGCCTGCTGGTCTCAGCAACTCCCCCTCCCTCTTGGAGCACTGACACCACATGAATCTGGGCTCATCACTCTGGCAGGCAGGTCTTCCCTGACACCCTGGTTTAGACAGAACTGGGTTGTCCCCAGCACACGGAGAGGAAGTGCTAGAAAGAAAAGTTTACCAAAAAAGAGGTGTTTTTTTTGTGTTGTTAGGAAACTGGGAAAGGTGAGTCAGCCAGGGTAGGAAGTGGTGAGGGTAGGGGGGTGGGGATAAAAATAAGGGCTGTGTATTTGAGGCTGGAATTTGGGGAGGTGCTTAAGAGGACAGAAATAGGGAGTGGGAAGAACAGAAAGGGAGAGGGACTCAGAGAGAGGAGGAGGCTGAGCCACCCGGAGAGGGGGACGTAGAATCCAAGCAGCGTCTGGCTCAACAGTGGAAGGAAGCAAGCCCAGGTCCAGGCCGCACCTCCTCGGGGATAGCCTGGGACAAGCCAGGCCTCCTGCCCTCAGGCTCTTGTAGACAGACTCATGGACCGATAGAACCCTGTGCAGTGGAGCTACCGCAAGGCAGCAACGAACTGCCCTGGGTCTGAAAGGACGTCTTGTGGGAAGTGACGGCTGAGTTGAGGTGGGTCTGGCTGGCTTTGGAAGTCCGAGCCACATAATTCCGGGAACCGCGAGTCCTTGTCAGCGTCGAGTCCTCGACTGCCCAGAATCGGAGGCCTCTTCCAAACAGCGCGAGCCGCAGCAGGCGGAAGTGCCGGCGAAAGGGGGTGGGGCCGCGAGAGCAGCGGAAGCCGGAAGCCGGAAGCCGAGGCCCGGGCTGCGCGTGGCGGTGATGGCGGCCAGCGGGGCCGTGGAGACCGCGCCCCCGGGGGCTACCACCGCCCCCTCGCCCGACCCGGCCCCGTCGCTCGCCCCGGGACACTTGTTCCGGCCCATCAGCGCCGAGGACGAGGAGCAGCAACCCACCGAGATCGAGTCCCTGTGCATGAACTGTTACAGCAACGTGAGGCGGGGGCGCGGCCGCGGGCAGCGGGAGGGTAGGGCTTAGGCGGGGAGGGGCCGGGGGTTGGACCCACGGCCAGGTGGGGCCGGGGGTTGGACCCACGGCCAGGTGGGCCCAGTCCGGGACCCGGGAGACCGCAGGACGATTTCATTGATTCTTTAATTCGCTGCTTTCTGCTTCCCCAGGGCATAACGCGCCTCCTGCTCACCAAGATCCCCTTCTTCAGAGAAATAATAGTGAGCTCCTTTTCCTGTGAGCACTGTGGCTGGAACAATACGGAGATCCAGTCGGCAGGCAGGATCCAGGACCAGGGAGTGCGTTACACTTTGACTGTCAGGGACCAGGAGGTGAGAGGAGCTCAGAGCACCGTACCCCAGTATCCTAGAGGGAGCTTGAGGACTAAAGTCAGAAATCTGATTCAGGTGGTCGGACCTTAAATAAATCCCCTATGTCTTCCGAGTCTTATAGTTTTCTCTTTTGTAAAATGGTATTGGTGCTTTCATCTGCTCCAGTGTGAGATACGATTTGTGAAAACGCTTTGTAAATCATGTCAGAGGGTATGAAATGGTCAGTAGTTATCAGTAGTATTCTCACCATTTGGACAGCCTGGCTCACACACTTGTACTGTTTGGAAGGAGTACTTTGGGCCCTTTGGAGGGGAGAGAGGGAGAAATAGCTGGGCTGGGGTCTGATTGAGGCTGACCTCTTTGGACTGAACGTTTTCTTTTCTGCCCAGGACATGAACAGAGAAGTAGTGAAGACTGACTCTGCCACCACAAGGATCCCTGAGCTGGATTTTGAAATTCCTGCCTTTAGCCAGAAGGGAGGTAAGATTAAGAGCAGGGTATTTGGGCTGTTCACACCTAGCTGGAAACTTATCCACTTTCTTGCAAATCCTCTGGTGCCATATCTAATGGCTTGTGTATAGGTTTTGTCATGTAATCATTGTGGTCTTCATTGGTTTAACGTGAGTAGAAAGCTTAAGTGAAATAGCGGGAGATAGTAGAGAGTAATAGTAAGGCTATAATGTGTTTATTATAGAATTTTAGCACGACTGATATCAGAGATAAATAGAACCTTATACCTGGCCGCCTCATTTTATGGGTGAGAGATTTAAGGCCCAGAGAGTTCAAGTGAGTTCCTCAGGGTCATACAGGCACTTGATAGCAGAACTAAGACTTACTTGTCTATTGTTCTCATTCACAAGCTCTGACCACTGTTGAAGGATTGATCAACCGTGCTATCTTTGGCCTGGAGCAGGACCAGCCCACACGAAGGGTGAGCTGGGGTTTTCTGATTATAGCAGCTCAAGGAATAATTGCTAATATGCGTCTGAATAGAGTGTTCAGCCTCCCATGTGTCTAAACTGTCTCTGACTACATGCTGGAGAACTTTTTTGGGAAAGCATATGTTGATGCTCTAACTGCCAAGGTGTCACATAATATTGTACTTTTTGTCCTTTCTACTTCCTTCCCCTGATGTATATTCCAGCCTCATCTCAGACAATGTAACATTACCTCTAAAGAGACTTTCCTAATCCCCTTGGGTTATCTGTACTTCCTGAATATTCCATTATATCTTATATTTATTATGATAGAAGTAATATAAGTGCATATTTAGTTATTTGTCTTCCTAAATAGCTGGGGAGCCCCATGAGAGGACTGTGCTGTATTTGCTGTTATATCCCTAACCTGGCATGAGTGCCTGGACTAAATGGTTGAATGAGTGAGAAAATGAGGTTCATCTGCTACTATGCATCGACTTCATTCTTGTTTGCTACATCTCATTGTGAAGTCTGAGTCACTCTGTTCCCACCCCACTCAAACTGAGACAGGTGGCAACTTCCTAATGGAAGTGACCTGGGTATGACAAGCAGTGGGGCATAAAGTAGACTACCAGGCCTGATGCTTTTCCTCTCTGTTCATGGCAGGCAAACAAAGATGCCACAGCTGAAAGAATTGATGAGTTCATTGTCAAACTGAAGGAGCTAAAGCAAGTGGTCACCCCTTTTACTCTGGTGAGTATTGAGGGACTAGAGTTGCCCTTTTTAGGGGAGGAGAGACCATTAAGACTGTCTGCAATTTTTCCAGTGTGGTGCGTGAGTGGTCTGATGGTAGATGGAAGATTGTACATGATTTCCTGTTGCAGTGACTTATCTCTTTACCCATATTTTAGATTATTGATGATCCTGCAGGGAACAGCTTTGTGGAAAACCCCCATGCTCCCCAGAAAGATGATGCCTTGGTGATCACACACTATAACCGGACCCTACTGCAAGAAGAGATGCTAGGACTCCAAGTAAGTGGACTGAAGGAGCCAGAAGAATGCTCTGGAATTATCTTATGGTCTGGATTGCTTGGAGTTAGTGGGAACTTATTTTGCTGCTCATGGCCTGTGTACCCTATCTCAGCTTGTTTGTGCCTCTCATCTAGCTGATGTCAAGGACTTGGGTAAACTTCCCAGAGACGGTGGCAGTGGCTGTGATCTTATCTCGAGCCCTGTTCTTCCCTTGGTTGGGGCTTTGCTTTCTATCTTCTCTGTCCAATCCATGAGGTAGCAGCTGACATAAGTGAACCAGAGTATTTTCTCCCACTCCAGAGCAGGATGTTGGGGATGCTGAGATAAACTTGCCAACTTGTGATTTGCTTCTCTGATATTTTAGGCAGAAGCACCAGCAGAGAACCCACAAGAGGAAGATCTCAGAAATGAAGTGAGTCATGTTGGCTACTGTTGAGAAAGGAGCAGAGTTGTGGGCCGAGATTGATGCTGTTCAGTGTCTTCTCCTTATCACTAGCATGGATGAGCACCAGCATACCAACTGAATGTCTATAGCCTGGGCATCCTGCCTGGGAGGTCTCAGCCTGTGTCCTTATATTGTGTTCCAGGTGCTGCAATTCAACACAAACTGCCCAGAATGCAATGCCCCAGCTCAGACCAACATGAAGCTAGTACGTATCTTTTGTCAAGCAGTTGGCTTGTTTTTCATCTGACTCAGGCATGAAGATAATCAGGCTGGGAGCATCCCTTCAAGGAAAGCATATGCTTTTTTCCCATTGAGAAGGAGGCTGTTGCCTTTGATTAGACTGTGTACCTTGACTTTTGGGTTCAAAGAGAATATTAGACCATGGTTTGAGGGTGTGTGTGTGTGGTCTGAGCTATGTCTTCAAACATGTGTGAACAGGGATCACCGCAAGTTGAGAACTTGCTTTTTTTCTGGAGGACTCAGTGTTAGGTTGCCTTTTTTGATATATTTCCTGCAGTCCTGGCACCAGTGTCTGTTTGTGTGGGGTTTGGCTTTGTTTTTCCCTAGAGGGTGGTCTTGCTTTCCCGGAAGTAGATTTCCTTAATTCCATCTTGCAGAAATCCCTCACTTTAAGGAAGTTATCATCATGGCTACCAACTGCGAGAACTGCGGGCATCGGACCAATGAGGTGGGTGGGCAACATTATTTGGGAAGCAAAGTAGCTTAAGGGTAACCCCCTTCTAATTTTCATCCTTCCTAAATGTACTGTTTCAGGATTAGGGGTGGGGCAGTTTGGGTCTTTCTATTAGCCTTGGGTGGGATGAGGAGTCCCTTAAGGAACTGGGAATTAGCTGAGCGAAGAACAGAGATTCCATAACTTATTTAAGACATACTAAAGGTTGATTACATGGAAGAGAGAGGAGACTTTTGACCCACTCCTCAGAGCGGCAGTTCAGGGAGGCAGATTTTAACTTCGTAATGAAGAACTTAATAGAGCTGCCTGAAAATAGAATGGGCTGCCTTAGAGAGTTATAAATTCCCTCTTCCTGAGTGTATCTGAGTATAAGCTGATTACGTTCTTAAACTGGATATTATGAAGGGGCCCCACACATTGGACACAGTAGATGAAAGGACTAGAATAAACACTTAAAAGTCTCTTCCAACTCCAAGAGTCAGATTTTTTTTAAAAAGGTAAATTCAGAGTTTCTTAGCAATTTGGGATAGGTTTGGCATGTGTTACTGGGGCTAGGCACTCTGTTCCTGTTTAGCTCTTGGTGTTTTTTGTTTGGGTGACGACTACCACTGTCAGTTTTGAATGCTCTGTCCTTGATAACTGTTAGTGTGCCTAACTGATCAGAGGGCTAAACCTGTGCTGAGCCTTCCGGGCACCAGGTGAGGCTCAAGGTATTCTCTCTGTTGCTGCTCCTGACTGTTACCTGTGCAGGTGAAATCTGGAGGAGCAGTAGAGCCCTTGGGCACCAGGATCACTCTCCACATCACGGATCCCTCAGATATGACCAGAGACCTCCTCAAGGTAACACCTGCTTGGGAAAGTGACTGTCTTCCTCATAGGCTGGAATAGGCTGTCTCTGTTAGGGGAAATTGTCTGTTTAAAGTAATGTTCAGGGACATGGGGTACCTCCTCCTTTCCTGGGTTTGAGGCTCCCTGAGCAGGGTTAATTCATAGTTGGAATTACAGATTCAGAAGGTGACCAATAAGCTCTTTCTGATGACTTGGCAGCTTTTTGGCTTCCACAGTTTATATGGGCCCTCTTCTCTAACTCCTAATGACAGGATACCTGACAGCTTAGAGCTATGACTCAGAGTTTCCCTTTATTAAGTTAGTTCCATTTCTGTGGTTCTGATGGACAGGAATGAGTCTCTAGCTTTAACTAGGGAGTCAGAGAAAACTGGGACAGCTGACTTTGTCCCCAAACTATCACTGGCGGTATTAATTTGGCAGGAGGCTTCTGGTTGGCTTTCTTTGCTCCTGACTTAGAACTTAAACTCACCTGTCATCTCATAGTCTGAGACGTGTAGTGTGGAAATTCCGGAGCTAGAATTTGAACTGGGCATGGCTGTCCTCGGGGGCAAGTTCACCACACTGGAGGGGCTGCTGAAAGACATCCGGGAACTGGTGAGTCTCTAAGTAGTGTGTGCAGCTTCTCCCAGCAATTTGGCTGTGAGGAAAGGGACTAGAAGACAGACTTCTTGATAATGATTGGAGGTTTACCTTATAGCTGGTTTAAGAGACTTAAGTGTTATTTTGGATTATAAAGCTAAGTTTTTGGGAAATTTTGAATGGAAATTCCCATGCCTAACTTGGGGACATTGTAGTTATTTTGTGTAAGTCAAAATGACTTGAGTAAGTCATTTATTTCACTCTAAAGTGAGAGGACAAGAGTCCTTCCAACACCCACCACTTCCCAACATACAGATACAGATATGTGTGTTGACCTATCTCCTATTATCTTGATGAATTATCTTGATGAATTATTTCACTTAATTGATTCTCATTTATTGGGCATTTTGTCTTTGTAAATTGTACTTTTTCTTTGCATTTCTTCTCCAAATTAGGATTAGAGATCATACTATACAAACATTTTCCTAGATTTTGTTTCACATTGCTAGTTTTGTCATCTTGATCCCCATAGATCCCCAGGAGTGGCTGCCTAGGTCAGAAAGGCGATGTGGGATAAATGGAAACCAGGCTTCCCTGACTGGGTACCCACTGCTATTCCTCGCCTGGCTTATACAGGCCTAAAAAACATAAAGCCAGTACTTAAGCAATGTGGATGTCATTTATTGCAGGTGACCAAGAACCCTTTCACACTGGGCGACAGTTCCAATCCAGGCCAGACGGAGAAACTGCAGGAGTTTAGCCAGAAGTTGGACCAGGTGAGAGGACACTGGCCAGTCAGTACTTGTAGTCCTCTGGTGAATAAGAGGCTGCATACTCATTACTTGCCATTTTTTGAACATCTAACCATCATGTTGGTGATTATTCTGGTTTCCTGTATCCCATGTCATCTTCTTTCTTGGTTTTCTCCCTTATTTTGTTGGAGCTTCTTCTCCAACAAAGTAGCTCAGAAGTAGCTTCCAGAGAAAGAGTACATGAGAAATGAGATTTCTGGAACCTTTCCTATCTGAGAATTTCTTTATTCTGCCTTCACAGTAGAGTGAGTATTGGCTGGTGATAGAATTCTAGGATAGAAATGATTTTTCATCAGAATTTTGAAGACATTGCACTATTGTCTTCCATTTTCCAGTTTGGCTATTGAGAAGGCTAAAGCCATTCTGATTCCTCTCTTTTGTATGTGACCTATTCTTGTGATCTTTTATTCTCTAGTGATGTGAAATTTCTTTTTTTTTTGGAGACAGAGTCTCACTGTGTTGCTTGGGCTAGAGTGCCATGGCGTCAGCCTACTCACAGCAACCTCCAACTGCTGGGCTTAGGCGGTCTTCCTGCCTCTGCCTCCCAAGTAGCTGGGACTACAGGCCTGTGCCACCATGCCTGGCTAATTTTTTCTATATATTTTTATTTACCCAATTAATTTCTTTCTATTTTGAGTAGAGACGGGGTCTTGCTCTTGCTCAGGCTGGTCTCGAACTCCCGACCTTGAGTGATCCTCCTGCCTCGGCCTCCCAGAGTGTTAGGATTATAGGCATGAGCCACCACGCCCGGCCTTGATGTGAAATTTCATGATGTGCCTTAATGTGGGTCAGTTTTCAACCACTGTGCTAAGCATTTGATAGGTCTTTTCAATCTGGAAAACTCATGTGGTTTAATTCTAGGAAGCTTTCTTGAATTATAATATTGAAGATTGCTTTTCTCTGTTTACTCCTGAAAACTCTGGGATTTTAGATACCAGACTTATTTGTCTGGTCTTTTATAACTTATTTTTTGTGTCCTATTTTCAGTTTCTTGGTATTTTGCTCTACTTTGGCAGATTCTCTCAATTTTATTTTCTAACCCTTTAATTGAGGTTTTCATTTCCACTAACATTTTTATTTCCCAAGAGCTTTTTTTCTGAGACAGAGTCCCACTCTCTTGCCTAGGCCAGAGTGCCGTGGCATCAGCCTAGCTCACAGCAACCTCAAACTCCTGGGCTCAAACAATCCTACCTTAACCTCTCTCAAGTAGCTGGGACTACAGGCACATGCCACTGCCCAGCTAATTTTTTCTATATATATTTTTTAGTTGTTTTGGCTAATTTCTTTCTATTTATGGTAGAGATGGGGTCTTGCTCTTGCTTAGGCTGGTCTTGAACTCCTGAGCTCAAGCAATCCTCCTGCCTCAGCCTCCCAGAGTGCTAGGATTATAGGCATGAGCCACCACACCCAGCCAGAGCTTTTTTAAAAATAGCAATGTTAGGGGCCTTCTTAGATAGATGTCTGATAATCATTGATTGTCTGCTTACAAGTAGAAGATTAAAAACTTGAGTACGGGTTAGTCTTGTTGACAGGGGGCTCATCCTAGGGGGACTTATCTCAGCCATTTTATTAAGGTAGTCCCCAATTCCAGAATTGCTAGGTCTTTCTTCCTGGGCCAGATTCTCATCAGTGGCTGTTCCATTTTCTGGCCTGAAGCTAAAGGCATGGCTGGCAGTGTTCTTCTGAGAGCTGTGGGAAGAGGGCTGGGGGTAAGGGGTTATATGTCTGTTTCCAATAACCATACATTCATTTAAGCTCCTTGGTTTTGATTCTTTTTGCACTACCCTTGACTGGGCCAGTACCCCCTAGCCCATAGCTGGGTGTGGTAACTTCTCCAGGGAAACAACAACTGTTGGCCATTTGGTGTGGGGGATGAGATTGAGGATGTTGAATGGCTTAAATAGCTTTCAAACAGTCCTTATTTTAGATCCTTTCCATTACACTTCCAGAGGTACCTAATTTCACCAATTCTTAAAACTTTGGGAGATTCTGTAATATAAATTGGGTTGGTTCTTGTCTGGCAGACATAGCCCTTTCCTATCAGGAGCATGTAAAATTTACCTGTTGTATTTTCTTTCTCCTTTAGATCATTGACGGTAACATGAAGGCCCACTTTATTATGGATGATCCAGCAGGAAACAGTTACTTGCAGGTATCGTAGATCTTCCATGATATTTCATGGAGAAGTATTTTCTGATCTTCCTTGAATATGTATTATTTCCCCAGAAACTGAAAGTCTTGATTCTAAATGGACTGCTTTTTATTAGAGAACTCCTTAGAAAGTAAAGGAGAAAGTGGGGAATGTGGGAAGGGTTTTAATTGTATGTAAAGAAGGGGAAAAAAGGATACTCCTAGACTCATTTCCTCCTGTAGTCTAGTTCTTATCCCCAGCTCTGGAGTTTTCAATTTGCAAATATGATTGTAGAATGAAGAGAAGTGGTAGGAAAACTGAGAGGCTTTAAGCTGACTGGGCAGGATAGTCTTGTGATTGATGTAACTTTAATATTTATGGAGCACTATGGGTCAGTCAAAACTATGCTGAGTTCCTTCCATGATTAAGACCATTGCCACACTTTTCATAAGAACATATACAAAATTTTTTAGGCAGAGGGTTCCTTGATTCTGCCTGGGGTGGGGCTGTCCCACTCCTGACCCATGTGGGCTCTGTTGCTGCCCATTCGTTCATCATAGCCATGTGGAATTGGAGGCCCTTAGAGAAAAAAAAAAAACCTCATTAAGTTCATGAGAAAGTGAGACTTGGAAGTGGCTTGCAGGGAGGGGGAATGGCATAATGGCACAGACACTGATTATCTGTCCTTGGCCTTGCAGAATGTGTATGCACCCGAAGATGATCCTGAGATGAAGGTGGAGCCTTACAAGCGCACCTTTGATCAAAACGAGGAGCTAGGGCTCAATGACATGAAGACAGAAGGCTATGAGGCTGAACTGGCTCCACAGCGGTAGCAGTGGATGGGTCACTCATGGGCCAGTCTCCAGTGCTGCTAATACTGCAGGGTTATTTATTACTATTGGAATAAGGCTGGGAGTGTCCTCCCCACCAGCCCTTGCTCATGGTGAGGACACCTGGTCTGAGTCAGAGACCTACGCACACTTTCTTAACAGCTGGTGATGCAAGTACAAGCCTATTGTGTTACTTGACCTTATTTTAGAGGTTTTGAATCGCCCTGGGAAGAAACCCGGAAATGGACCATGGGGCATGTCATTATCACTTTTTTCCTATCAAGTCTTTACCCTCCCTCCACATAATGCTGTGTCCTCTAAGGTTGTAACTCTGAAGTTGGACAAGGTAGAATAAAGTTACAGCTGGAGTTTGGGAGTTGGTTTTGGGTTTGGAAAATACTGATTTTCAACAGGAGTCTCCTGAGGGGAGAGAGTCCAGCACAAGTGAAGGAGTCATTAAAATGATGGCTTTCAAACAGCACTTGCTTCTGTATTCACTCTGTCCTTTTGTGATATCATGCTGTTAGAATTCAGCCTCCTAAAGAAAATTTTCTCCAGTGTGGCCACTATAATTTGGGGATCAGAGCTGGCATTTCATTCATTCCTTCAACAGATAGTTTGCTTGTCTACTTTATGCCAAGCACATCACAGAACAGTGAACAAAATCTCTGCTTTCATGGAATTTAAAGTCTAGTGGGGTAAATTGGCAATAAACAATAAAACAGTATGTCAGCACATCACAGAACAGTGAACAAAATCTCTGCTTTCATGGAATTTAAAGTCTAGTGGGGAAAATTGGCAATAAACAAATAAAACAGTATGTCAGGTAGTTACTAGTGTTATGGAGGGACGTAAAGCAGATAATGAGGAAAGGTAGTGCTAGGGAAAGTGGGGCCAAGGAAGATCTTACCAAGCAGGTGATAGTTTGGCGTTAAGACAAAGCTGAGAAGGAGGTAAGGGAGTGAGCCATGTGAGTAGCTGGAAGAAGAGATTTCTGGGCAGAGGGAACTACAAATCCAAAAGCTCTGAGGCTGGTGAATCTTAGAGCCAGTTGGGGTATTTGAGATCAGCTAGCCCCACTCTCAGTTACAAATGGGGAAACACATTCAACCAGAGAAAGAAGGGGCTCTATAGTTGCGTAGGAAGTTAAGGACCCTCAACTCCTCAGCCAGTGCTCTTTGCACTGTGGTCTGCTGCCTCTCATGAACAAAATGGTGACTTCTGTGGTTCAGAGTGCAGGGGATTTGCTCAGTAGGCATCAGTTAATTGAGATGTTACCACCCACCATTATTGCTTTGTATTGCAAACTTAACTCTGAATAATTATTTTTTTAAGCATTTCAGTTATTTTTAAAGAAATACTGCTTTTTCCAAGGGCAACAAAGTGAACTAAAAGGTCAGAAGGAAGCTGGGTGTGGGCTTCTCACAAGCTCTTGCTCCAAAACCTGAAGTGGAAGTGAGGAAAGAGGGCCCTCTTGAGAACTCTGGGGAGACTGGCGCAGCAGGGGATTCCTTTGGCAGGGTGGGTAGAGCTGCACCCCCCCATGGTCACCGGATTGATCTGAATGGGCTCTAAGACGATTTCCACGTGCCAGTCTGCTGACAGGATGAACATTATTATTTTGGGGGGACATTAAAGAATGACACAAGGAGCCAAGAGTGGCTTATTCAGTTGGATTTGGAATCACAATCAGGAAACAGTCTTCGCCTGGTGCAACCATAATTTCATTTTTCTTGGCGCGAATTTAAAGAAAGGTCATTCTGGGGGTCAGTTCCATGCACAGTGCTCCGTGCCTTCAAGATGAAGTTGTGCATGAGGTTAGCAGACTGGTGGTGGGATTGTCCATGGTGCTCTTGATGGCAGTGCCTTCTATGTTCACAATGATTCCCTGCTCTCCTTTCTGGCTCTTAAGTCGCTTCAGTGTCTCCTCCACTTCTGCCATTTTGGACTGATTTGGTAGCTCTACATTGCTGACTCTCAGCCCAGTTCCCAGCCTTTCTGTGTCTGCCAACTCTGAAGAATTAGTTATAGATGACTTAGCTATCAGATACCTACTTTCACTGCTCCATTAAACTATTCTCAAAAGTCACCAGTAATTTTCCATTTCAAAATGTTCTCATTCTCTATTTCTGTCACATTTGATAGTGAACCATTTTTTCTTAACCCTTCTCTTGGCTCTTGTGATACCGTAACCCTGATTTTCCCTTTACTTTGATCATTCCTTATTTGGAATCTCTGCCTCCTCCCTCTTCCTTAAATGTATTTCTGAAAATTCTGCTTTTAGACATTTCTCAGTATTGGATTCTTTGGCGTCTTAGTGTCATGTGGGACTAACTCCCATACCTGTATCTCTAGTTTCTGTGAGGGCAAGTAGGATGTTTTAAGAATTTGGAGACTCAGATGGGCAAACAACTCAAACTATAAAGGTACAACACTTTGAATAGACTTCTCACATCCAATTATTCTACCCTAAGAGACTGTCTATAGATGTGTTTCCAACTGACTTGGGAATCTAAGTTTACCAGGCAACCTTCTGATTTACCATCTGGTCTCTGGAATGGACTTCTCCATGGGGCAGGTGCACTCTGTGAAGGTGAACCCCAGTGTCAGGTTCATTTTTCCATTGTGAAGGAAAAAAAAGGGCACTCTGGTTTATTTGTGTGTCTCTTGTGTGTTCGGTTGGGGTGAGGCAATCTCCCAGACTCCAACCAGTTACTGGGAAGTGATAACCCGAGTTTCTGAACCTGTGAAGACTGAGGGCCAGGTGCCAGACTGGTATAACCTAGCTAAGGTACTTCCTCCTGCCCTTCCAGGGCCTGGCATTCTTCACTTTCATACCATTCTCTTAACATATTTCTCAACTCCATTGTCACTTCATAAATCTTGTGGAGATGGGAGCTTACATCTAGTTAACTTTGTCTTGCCCCACAGCCCCTAGCATGTGGTACATGATTAATAAAATTTGTTATAACCCTCTACAGATGCTTAAGAGTCTTCCATCTGGCCGGGCGCGGTGGCTCACGCCTGTAATCCTAGCACTCTGGGAGGCCGAGGCGGGCGGATTGCTCGAGGTTGGGAGTTCGAAACCATCCTGAGCAAGACCCCGTCTCTACTAAAAATAGAAAGAAATTAATTGACCAACTAAAAATATATATACAAAAAAAAATTAGCTGGACATGGTGGTGCATGCCTGTAGTCCCAGCTACTTGGGAGGCTGAGGCAGGAGGATCGCTTGAGCCCAGGAGTTTGAGGTTGCTGTGAGCTAGGCTGACGCCACGGCACTCTAGGCCAGGCAACAGAACTAGACTCTGTCTCAAAAAAAAAAAAAAAAAAAAAGAGTCTTCCATCTTAGATCAAGCCCTATTAGGGCAGTGAAGGTAGCATATGTAGGTAACAGGGTATGGGAAGGGTCCTGCTGCCAGGCCAGGGGAGGTGAGGCAGTCAAAGTGCCAGCCCAAGAACATGCAGATTCGGTTCAAAGCCATGAGAATAAAATTTAAGCAGAAAGTTTTATGATTGTGTTAAAAAAAAGGATAGTGCTTTGTTTTTGAGGGCACACCTCCTATTTCATAGTTCAAGCATGTTACATACAGCCACGTTTAGCCATTAGACCCGTGAACATATGGATGGGAATGGCATGTGCATCTGCGCTGTGATGAGTGAGTGGAGGATGTGAGGTTAGCGTTGGGAATAAGCACGGAGGGCAGTTGATTAGCTAACTGAAAGCTTTAATGATGGTAACGCTTTCGTTGTTACAACATTGGCAGTGTATTTCCTTCTTTGTATACCTGTGCTATGTGGCTGTTGCACGGCAGGGAATGGTGCCTCTGCTTAAATTTAGGGCAGTGGTGTTTAAGGCTTTATTCTTGTAAAAATTTGTACACACTCCTTTTTAAGAAAAATGAGTGTTTTCATCTGTTCCAAGAAAAGAGTCAGTGCTTATCATGTGTGTTCACTTCTGAGTTTAGTATTTGGCGCCTCCAATACTTCGGTTTTTCTAGTCTGTAAAATGGGGATAATAAGGACATTTACTTTGTAGAGTTTCTGTGAGGACTGAGTTAATTGTGAAGTGCTTTTACAGGTACTTATAATCCTCACAAAAATTCTGAAACATCTCTGTTTCTGCTTTAAATACTAATAATTTCTGGGAAAAAGTAGATTTCAGTCAGCAAAACTATCCCCATTTTACAAGTGAGGAAATAGTTTCAGAGACGTTGGTAACTTGCAGAGGGTAGCAGAGCTCCTAAGAGGCAAGCTTCAATTGTAGGCCAGTCTGACTCTGGAACCTGAGCTCTTTAATATTTTGAGCTTGAATCCATAATTACTGTTTTTGTTTTATTAGATGGCATCTGGTCCTGCTAAACTGCACTGTGAGAGGTAGGGTTGAGACATGTTGAGTCTTGTTAGGCTAAGGGACTGGGTAGAATGGTGAGTGGTGGAACTGAAGACGACGAATGGGTGAGAGATAGGTTTATGGGGGCCGAGAGGGCTATACTGGCAATATTCACTAGAGCAGAAATGGGAGACTTTCTGAAAGTTTGCTGACACCGGGGTGGAGGCAGGGCTGTACAGTGCAGTTTGAGATACACCCAATGGGACTAGAAGCCAAGGCAGAGTTGTGTGTGGGGTACCTATGGGCCCTCCAAGCTGGTGAAGCCCTGTCCTCTCAGTCCAATGCCCCCTCTCACAAGCTTTCAGAGACCCAGCCTGCTTTCCTTTCTGGACCTGTGTTCATGCTTCAAGGCAGTGACCTCCAAAGCCTTTTTGTATTATATGAGTAAAGAATTGTTTGAACATGTATCCCAAGATACATATATTTATAAAGTATAACTGTGCCCACTTGACTACTACTTTAAAACAGTGACAAGAGAATGTAACATGATGAAATGAAAATATAAGATCTAGCACCCCACTTTGCTAGCCTTTGCTCCCAAGAGTCATGTTTTGGCTGTGTGAAGTCAAGCAATGTTATTAACCTCTCCAAGCTTCTGTTTTCTCATCTGGAATACACGATAATAAAACTATCTGGGAATTGTGAGGGTTAAGTGAGATCATTTATGTAAAGCTCTTCACACCTCTCCAAAACCTGAACATTAGAATTCATTCTCTCTAGTTTCCCTCTTCTGCTATGCTGGAAATAGATCCAGGTTCTTTTCACTGGAACGGCTTTACACAGTTTCCTTCAAGAGTTAACTAGGGGCTACCAACAATATCAAACATGGGAAAGTTACATAGGTTTTGGAAACCGCATTTTTCATTATAATTATGTTGGGTTTGGAGTTCCTGACTTCCTCTCTGAAGGGTACCTGGAAGCCTCTTAAGAGCAAATCCCCGCCCCCAAGGTACCTATGCTATAAAAATAACATACATTACGGATAATTATGTGCCAAACACTTCTAAGCACTTTACACAGTAATTATTGCAGTCCTTGTAACCACTGAGTCAGGTGCCATTATTATCCCCGTTTGGTTAAGTAACTTGCTCGAGGTCGTGCTGCTAGTAAGTTAGGGAACCAGTATTCAAACTCAGGTAAGCTGCAACTCCACAGCCTGCTTTTTTTTTTTTTTTTTTTTTTTTGAGACAGAGTCTCGCTTTGTTGCCCAGGCTAGGAGTGCCATGGCGTCAGCCTAGTTCACAGCAACCTCAAACTCCTGGGCTCAAGCGATCCTTCTGCCTCAGCCTCCCAAGTAGCTGAGACTACAGGTATGCGCCACCATGCCCGGCTAATTTTTTCTATATATATTAGCTGGCCAATTAATTTCTTTCAATTTATAGTAGAGACGGAGTCTCGTTCTTGCTCAGGCTGGTTTCGAACTCCTGACCTCGAGCAATCCGCCCGCCTCGGCCTCCCAGAGTGCTAGGATTACAGGCGTGAGCCACCACGCCCGGCCCACAGCCTGCGTTCTTATCTACACTCCCGCGCTTCCGAAGCTGCTGGGCCGGCATCTTGTTTGGGTCTGGTCGTAGCCTCTTGGCTAGAACAGCGCTTGCTGCAGTTTGTTGGACGAATGGATGGATGGACGGAAAGAATAAACGTGGTTGCGTCGTAGTAGGGATGTGGAATCGGCCCCGGAGGTGCACACGTTCCTCAGCCTGCAAGCGGTTCGCCGGGACTCATCGTTCAGGGCGGGTCCAAGTACACGCGCCACTTCCGGTTCCGGCTCCACCTCCTCAGGCAGCTGCCGTCCACTTCGCGTTCCAGAATTTTGTCCCCAGCGCCGAGCCGTCTCCCCGCCCCCGCCGCTGCCATGGCGGCAGCTCCGCCGCTCTCCAAGGCCGAGTATCTGAAGCGTTACTTGTCCGGGGCGGATGCCGGCGTCGACGGGGGCTCTGAGTCCAGTCGCAAGCGTCGTAAAAAGCGGCCGAAGCCTGGCGGGGCCGGTGGCAAGGGGTGAGTTGGTACTGGCGGGGGGCGGGCCTGGGGCGGCTCGCCACCCTCGCCCTTGCCGACTCCGCCCTCCGCTGCCCGGCCCTTCCTTCTCTCTTGGCCCGCCGGCCTCCCTCTGACTGCTCCGCCGCCCCTGCCTAAGCCCAAGGCCTCGCTCGCACCGCTTCAAGCCCCGACTTGCTGCTGCTGCCCCGCTTACACCTCGCGCCAACGTGCAGTAGCTTCCACGTATTAAAGCCAGGCTGTAACTTTCTTTACTCTTTTCCCGCCTTTGTAGCCTTCCGACTTTTCCTGTAGAGAATGATGGGGCTGATCAAAGCCTCTCTCTGTGCTTGGATTTTTAGGGCCCAGAACCTGCCTGTGGGAGTCCCTAAGTCCTAAAGACTCTAGTCCTGAATCAGAGACCTTTGATCACGTCCTGTGATTCTTAATAATAGTACTACTAACAAGAGCAACTAACATTTACACAGTTCTTGTCATTTATACAGTTCTTGCCAGACATCATTATAAGAACTTTAAACATATGTAAATTTATTTAAGCCTCACAACACTACCATGAAGTAGGTATTCTTATTATTTCCATTTTTTCAAATGAGAAAACTTTATGGCCCAGTGTACTGGATTGAATAGTGCCTCCTCCTCAAAGTTTTTCCACTCAGCCAGAACCTCAGCCAGAATGTGACATTATTTGGAAATAGGGTCTTTGGAGTGGTAATCAATTAAGATGAGATCGTACTTGAGTAAGGTGGGTGCCAAATCCAATGTCTTTTTAAGGAGAGGGAAATTTGGACACACAGACAGTAACAGAGGGAAAATGAGCATGTGTAGCTAGCTGTATGCTGAGTTTGGACTGAATTTATGCTGCCAAAAGCCAAGGTACACCCGGGGCTACTAGAAGCTGGAAGAGGTAAGGAAAGATTCTTCCCTAGAGATTTTCCAGGGAGTATGGCCTTGCAGACACCTTGATATCAGACCTCTAGCTTCCAGAACTGGGAGAGAATTTCTGTTGTGTTTTAGACAGGATCTCGCTCTGTCCCCCTGGCTGGAGTGTAGTGGTGCCATCATAGCTCATTGTAGCCGCCAACTCCTGGGCTCAAGTGGCTCCTGCCTCAGCCTCCTAAGTAGCTATAACTACAGGCACATGCCACCATGCCTAGCTAATTTTTGAATTTTTTTTTGTAGTTTTGTAGAGACAAGGTCTCACTATGTTGCCCAGGCTGGTCTGGAACTCCTGGCCTTACATGATATCTCTCCCCTCGGCCTTCCTAAGTGCTGGGAGTATAGGCATGAGCCTCAGTGCCCTGCTAAATTTCTGTTGTTTTCAGCCACCCCGTTTGTGTTGCTTTGTAGCAGCCCCAGGACACTAAGATACCCAGTGAAGTCACATCGTTCTAAAGAGCTAGTCTGTTTTCTTTCTGGTTTGGTTCTGGCCTTCTGTTTTTCTGCCTCTGTGACTGGAGAGAGTCCTTTGGAGGCTTGCCATGTGGTGACAATAGCTTGAACATAGGAGCAACACTGATCAGAGTTTTAATCCTACCCATGCCACATTATAGGATGTGTGCCCTTGGGCAAGATAGTTCATCTCTCTGAGCTTCAGTTTTCTTATCTTTCAAATGAGAGTAATGCTGAATAATACTGTTTATATTAAATGGTAGTTGTTATGATTAGAGATGTTACATTAAGTGTCCCTTGCTTCCCTTGCTTTTTGAATAACTGTTCATATCTTGGGCAGTCATTGTTATTATTTGGGCTCAGCTATAGTTCATCCATGTAACAAACATTTATTGAATACTTTGTATGCCAGTTACTGCAGAGTATTGAGGATGCCTCTGTGAAGAAAAAGGACATCATCCCTGTTCTTGTGGGGCTTATAGTTTAATGGGGATACAGGATTTAAACAATTGATTATACAACTAATTAATTTATTCCTTTATGATAGATGCAATAAAAGTATTCCAAGAGTGTGTAACAAGGGTTCTTAGACTTGGGTGGGTGTGGGGTGGTGAGAGAATGGGGGGAAGCAGTCAAAAAAGGTATGCCCAAGGAAGTTATATTTATGGTAGGGCTTAAAGAATGAGAAGAATAGGTCAGGCCACAGGAAGGGGCTGTGTAAATGAAAACTGATGTGGGAAGGAATTTGGCTCATTTCTAGGCACCGAAGGGTGTCCTGTGAAGTAGTCGACTGAGGGGGAAGCTGTACAAGATGAAGTTGGCCATGTAGGCAAAGACTGCACCATGTAGGATCTTTTAGTATTTTGAGCTTTATCCTAAAACCAATACATAAGTGTTCTTAGGATGGTATCCCAGAATGGCTGTTTCTATCTGATCTTTGTGTTGTTCCCATTTAGGATGCGGATTGTGGATGATGATGTGAGCTGGACATCTATCTCTACCAGTAAACCAGAAAAGGAGGAGGAGGAAGATGATGGAGATTTGCCTGTGGTAGGTATCTTTGGGGCTGTTAGGGTTTTGAAATGAAGCAGTCTTCTCAGTCTCTCCTCCCAGTGTAGGGTAGATTTGTAGGGTGGCAATTGAGGGCAGAAAAGTATTGACAGTTTTCAAAGAGCTGTTTAAAGTAGTGTTCTTTGATGATGTGTATACACTGACTTCTCTGTTTATGGAGGTCCCCATCAACCTAGAAATGGGAACTTATCACAGAGAGAGGTAGGAATCCTCAATATCAGTCATAGAGCCATGATTCAATTAGCTATAGTTCAGTTTGTTGGAAGCTACCATAAAAGCCATATTCAGGTTCAATTTAGGGAACTTTTTTTTTTTTTTTGAGACAGAGTCTCACTTTGTTGCCCAGGCTAGAGTGAGTGCCGTGGCGTCAGCCTGGCTCACAGCAACCTCAATTTCCGGGGCTCAGCGATCCTACTGCCTCAGCCTCCCGAGTAGCTGGGACTACAGGCATGCGCCACCATGCCCGGCTAATTTTTTGTATATATATTTTTAGTTGGTCAATTAATTTATTTCTATTTTTGGTAGAGACGGGGTCTCGCTCAGGCTGGTTTCGAACTCCTGACCTTGAGCAATCCGCCCGCCTCAGCCTCCCAAAGTGCTAGGATTACAGGCGTGAGCCACCGCACCCGGCCTAATTTAGGGAACTTTTTATTTACTCCTTTATTCATTGATTTAACTAAGCTTTCAAATTATATACTTTTGCCTAAGTATTAGAGCTATATAGATGAATAAAACATAGTGTCTGTATTTTAGAGGTTATAACCTGGAATGAAACATTGAATTTCAACAATGCAATAAATGTTGGAGATGTATTTCACATATATACCAAGTATCATTAGAGCATAGGGAAGGTAGCACACTTTGTATTCTATTGGGAGATGTTGTGAAAGATGTAAATATCTTATTTAATATTAATTCTCATTAAAATTCTAAAATAGATTATTTAAAAGATGGTTTGCTAGTAATTAGAAGGAAAATAATAGAGATCTTAGGAGCCAGTTTGTCAGAACAAATCACTCAAACTTAATATTAACAATTTTTTTTATTTTATAAAAGAAATATATGTTTGTGATAGAATATTTGGGAATTATGAGAAAGTTTAAAGTTTTAAAAAGCGTATAATAGCTACTTATACTGTGACCCTTTCAGAGGTAACAGCTGCTAACATTTGGATCATATCTCTTCAGTTTTTTTCTCTTTATAGATTATATATACTTGTATTTTATTTAGTTTTTGAACATAATTAGGGTCATAATGTACATGTGGTTTTGCAGCCTGTTCTTTCACTTAATAGTTGGTGAATGCTTTAGTAAGACCTTCAAATAGTTTTTGAGGATATGATTTTTAATGGTTACATATTAGTTCAATATATATTTATTTAACCTGTCCTATTATTGGGCACATAGATTGTTTCCAGTTTTAAAATATCATAAGTGATTGTGCATAAATCATTATAGGAATCTATTTATTTCTTTATTTCCATGAAATTAATAGATAGAGGATATGGTCCTTCTAAGTTATATTCCCATACTGCTTTCTAAAAAGTGCTACCAATTTACACTTCCAATAGAGGTGGTGAGAATGCCAGGTTGCCCACTTCATCAATATTAAGCATTATTAACAAAACAAAAGCAACAACAAACTTATGCCAGTTTGGCAGGTGAGCAAGTTTCTTTGAACACTATTGAAATGAATATTTTTTCATGTATTTATTGGCATTTGTATTTTGTGAATTTCCTGTTTCTTTGTCCATTTTTTTAGAAAACTGGATTTGATTTATTTGATATTTATACAATACCAAATTTATTTGATTTATTTGGTATATATTGGCCTGAGCAAGAGTGAGACCCCATCTCTCCTAAAAATAGAAAAAATTAGCCAGGTGTGGTAGTGGTGCACCTGTAGTTCCAGCTACTTGGGAGGCTGAGGAAGGAGGATCCCTTGAGCCTAGGAGTTGGAGGTTGCCATGAGCTAGGCTGATGCCACGGCACTCTAGCCCAGACAACAGAGTTAGACTCTGTCTCAAAAAAAAAAAAAAGTTTTAATTTTTTTGTAGTTTTCCTTTATAATATTGTCTTTTGCTTTTATGGTGGCCCAAAACCTAAACAAAGGAGGCTTTAGCCCCACTGCTTTCTGCACTGGTTAAACAGATCTTGAATTTTGAATTAATTTTTGTTACTGCAAGATTACCACCGCCACCAATAATAATGGCAAAATAATTATGATTATGATAGCAGTGACAGCACAAGAATAACTAGAGGTAAAATTTATTGAGCATTTACCACGTACTAAGCACTGCTAAGCTTGTGTGAATTATTTCATTCAATCCTTATAGCAATCCTTTGAATCCTGCTTTTACAAATGAAGAAACTGAGACTTAGAATAATTTGCCAAAGGTTACACAAATGCTAAGTGGCAGAGCTAGGGGTTTAGATCTCAGTTTATCTTGCCTGAAAGCCTGGTGAGAAATCTCAAAACTAGGTTATATGAGGAATGGGGGTAGGATTTTTGGGAGAAGTAGAGGGAAATTATGACCTGGATTTTAATTTCATTTCTGCCATTTGCTAGCTTGTGGCATTGAGAAAGTTAATTAACTTCTTTGAGTCATAGTTCAATGGTCTGGAGTCTTTCTTTGCAGGGTTATTGTGAGGATTGAGTTAGATAATATGAAAAAAGAACAAAACACAGTGCCTTGCGCATAGTTGCTATTATGTAACTAGAGTTTATTATGCCAGCCATCTTTCAAAGTCTGTGGTGTGGAAATGAGCTCAGTTGCATCAGAGATCAGAACTAGGATCAATGCAAAGAAATTATAGGAAGGTAAATATTGGTTCAATAAGATTGTTATAATACTTTTCTAATACTTTTCAAAAAATGCAATGGACTGCTTTGTATGATAATGAGTTCCCTTTCAGGGAGGGATTGGGTGAGTGATCATTTATCAGGGGTACCTCAGAGAAGATTCCTATTTGTTTGGGAGTTTAGAGAATATGAAGTGTGGTTTTATCCTTAAAGATGCTGTGATTCTATGTACATGTTAGTGGTTTCCTTTGGTTGGATTCAAGAAAACCTATCATTGTGACTACCTATAATAAAAAAGGTTTCTTTCATAGGATCCCAAAATCCTTGATTAACGATAGACACGACTGGAGGCAGGCTATGTTTTCATTCAATGTAAAAATAAAAGTGTAAATGGAATTTAGGTTTTAGCTTACATGTGGCAGTTGTGTTCCTAGAAGGTTAATAGAAAGGTTTGTAATGAAAGAAATTAACCTTTAGAGGGAAATTAATTAGAGAAGGATCTACGATTAAATCAGTACAGTGACAATCAAATGTTTATGGAGCAAACATAACTGAGGACCATTACATGTTTCTTCATGACTGGTTTGTGTATGTGTGCACTGTTAGGAATAGAAATGGTCATAGCTTCAGGTTCTTGAGATAACAGTGCTCCTTGACTGGATCCTGTGGATTTCCTCAACATAGGAAGTCCTTACTCCTACAGGTGGCCGAGTTTGTGGATGAGCGGCCGGAAGAGGTAAAACAGATGGAGGCCTTTCGTTCCAGTGCTAAATGGAAGCTTCTGGGAGGTGAGTTCCATCAATAGATAAATCTAAATTTCCTGGTAATAGAGGAGGCCTTTTTTCCTTCTGTATACTTTTCTTTTAGAGGAATGCGTAGTTTGTTTTAGTGTGCCATTGAGCCTGAAAAATAGAGTGGGGAAAGAGAATTCTGGACCTCTTCAGAGCTAGTAAGGAACTTAGAGACCAGGTAGCTCTCTTTTTCTTATGTTTTGGTATTAGAATTACTGAGGTCAGAGATTCATTTGGAGGCCTTTCTGCACCTACTCCTCTCTGACGCAGAATTGGAGAGCACTTAGTATATAGGCAAGACTTTGGGAGGAGTTTACAAGAAACAGAAGAACAGAATTTGGAGACTTTAGCTACTTCTTATCCTTCAGAATGAAGTGACTACTATATAGGTCAAGGACCAATGTTTTTTGTCTTTTTTATTTGTGTTAGCAAATTTCTCTGTTCTTCCCTTAAATATTAGTATTTTACAGTGCATTGTCCTCTACTTGTCCACTTTAGACTCTTCCTAGGCTAATAATTTTATTCTCTCCTTTCAAAAAAACGATTGAACCATTGAGAATTGGATAAAAGGTATTTGTTTGTCACAACTGTTTGAGCAGAGACTAGTCTTATTTGCCGTATTTCCCCCACCTAGCTAGCACAAGGAGGTACCTTAAATAAATACTTGTTGAATTGCTAGTAGGCATTTAATTCTTGTAGCCTACTGCTCTTTGGTAAATCATCACTTGAGGCTTATCAGTCATTCCCCTTTTTCAGTAACTTGGTAGGTAGGTCTACTTGCTAAGGGACATAGACCAGTGAGTCACAGTCCTGGTTCCAGCAGTCCATTTAGGCTCTCCATGGCCAGAAAGCATGCTGTTTTTTCACCCCCTTTATTTATTCTTTCATAAACAAGGATCTTCTTTTTTTTTTCCCTTTTTCTTTTTTAGAGACAGGGTCTCCCTCTGTCACCCAGGCTGGAGTACAGTGGTGTGATCATAGCCCACTGTAACCTTGAGCTCCTCGGCTCAAGCAGTCTTCCTGTCTCAGCCTCCTAAGTAGCTGGGACTACAGGTGGACACCACCATGCCTTGCTGATTTTTTAAAATTTTTTATAGAGATGGATCTTGCTGTGTAGCCCAGGCTGGTCTCGGACTCCTGGCCTCAAGTAATCTTCCTGTCTTGGCCTCCTAAAGTGCTAGGATTACAGGCATGAGCCACTGTGCTTGGCTGGATCTTCCTTCTTGTTAGCTGTGTAGCTCTAGGTTACCCTGTCATGCTTGTTCCTTTTTTACACATGGAGGATGAAAGAATTTGCTCCTAAATAGGATTTGTCTCTGTTGTAATAGTTTGTGCCATTAGGTTAATTATCCTCCAATTCTTACTAGAAAAAAATATGTAACAAAACTGACAGCTATAGATTAGTAATAACCATTGCCTCAGTTAATTTTCAGTACATTATTGTCTAGCTTTATGAATGAAAACTTTATTTTCAGGATTACTTTTTCAGAATTCTTTTCAGTCTTATCCATTATTTTCTGCCTTATCCTCTAGTTGTGTTTCCCTTTCCTTATTTATTTATTTTAGAATATTATGGAGGTACAAACATTTTGGTTACAAGTAATGCCTTTGTCTCACCCAATCCAGGGCCAGAGGCGTGCCCTTCCCCCATATAGTATGCTCTGTCTTCATTTGTTGTGGGTTTACCCACCCATACCCACCCCCATCTGACTGACACCCAATGAATATTACTACCATGCGAGCACCTTAGTGTTGATTAGTTAGTACCAACTTGATGACGAATACATGTGGTGCTTGTTTTTCCATTCTTGTGATATCTCACATCAAGGATGGGCTCAAGCTCTGTCTAGGATAGTATAAGAGATGCTAGATCACCATTGTTTTTTGTAGCTGAGTAGCAGTCCATAGTATACATATACCACATTTCATTAATCCACTCATGTATTGATGAGCACTTGGGTTGTTTCCACATCTTTTTGCAATTGTGAATAGTGCTGCCATAAACATTCGAGGGTAGATGTCTTTATTATAGAATATCTTTTTTTCCTTTGGGTAGATGCCTAGTAGTGGGATTGCTGGATCAAATGGTATTTCTATTTTTAGCTCTTTGAGGTATCTCCAAATTATTTTCCGCAGCAGTTGTACTAATTTGCAATCCCACCAGCAGTGTAAGAGTGTTCCTATCTCTCTACATCTATGCCAGCATTTGTTGTTTTGGGACTTTTTGATAAAGACCATTGTCACTGGAGTTAGGTGATATCTCATTGTGGTTTTGATTTGCATTTCCCTAATTATTAGAGATGTTGAGCATTTTTTAAATATGTTTCCTGGCCATTATTCTGTCTTCTTTTGATGTTTTCCTTTTCCATAATTCTTTTTCCAAAGAGAATCTTCTAGTCTCCATATCTGTATGTCTAAGAATTGTCTCTCTTTCTCTCTCTCTAGGAAGTCTCCCTACCCCCTCTCCCCCATCTCTCTCTCTCTCACTCTCTCTCTCTCTCAAGTCTCTCTCTCTAACACACACAATCTTTTTTCTTCTGCTTCATTCTCACTGCCTCATTCCAATATGTTATAGGAAATATTCTCACTAATCTCTGACCCTTACTTACTTTTTAGAAATGTCATGGGATTTATCAACCTCATGGATTAGGTTTGCTGTTGGGTCCTCCACAGACATCAGTACTTCTATCTGTAGGGTGGATTTACTCCTTCACCACTTATTAGCAGTATGACTTTGGCAAATTAAACTTTCTGAGCATCAGTTTCCTTATCTTTATAATGGAGATAACAATGTTTGTCTGCTAGACTTGTGAGAATTAAATGAGATAATCTGTATAAAGCTTTTGCACATAGTAGGTCATCAGTAAATGCTTGATCTTTTTTTGTGTGATGTATGTTTTCCCCCTCTAACAAGGAACACAATGACATGGATTAAATATAAGTAGTTACCAACATTTCATTTTGATGTGCACAGATTTAGTTAGCTTGCCTTTTTTTTTTTTTTTTTTTGAGACAGAGTCTCACTTTGTTGCCCAGGCTAGAGTGAGTGCCGTGGCGTCAGCCTAGCTCACAGCAACCTCAAACTCCTGGGCTCGAGTGATCCTTCTGCCTCAGCCTCCCGGGTAGCTGGGACTACAGGCATGCGCCACCATGCCCGGCTAATTTTTTTTATATATATATCAGTTGGCCAATTAATTTCTTTCTATTTATAGTAGAGACGGGGTCTCGCTCTTGCTCAGGCTGGTTTTGAACTCCTGACCTTGAGCAATCCGCCCGCCTCGGCCTCCCAAGAGCTAGGATTACAGGCGTGAGCCACAGCGTCCGGCCTAGCTTGCCTTTTGAAAGAAGAATGAGTACAAACTATAAATTATCTAGGCTAAATATTAGTAGGAGCCACTGACTGGGAACTGCACAAATGAGGTTTTAGAAAGAATATTGGATTGGGAGTTGAAAGACTTGGGTTCTAATCTGTCTCTTCTTCTAAGTAGCTGTGACCTTAGGTAAGGAATCACTCAGCCCCTCAAAGCCTCTGTTTTCATGATGTAAAACAAGGGTACCTTCCCTGCTTATCTTAAAGGGTATAATATAAAAAATGTATTTAAAATGCTTTGCAGACTTACTAGTTGGTAGGCAAATAAGAGGGGTTGTTCTTAAGATATTCATCAGTTCTTGTTTGCTGTCCCTAAGCAAGAGAGCTGTGCAGACCTTTTAGCCTTTCTGGGTAGTTCTCAGATGTGTACTGCTGGGACATCTTCTGAAAATTTGGGTGTGAGGGGTGGACAGAGCATTTATGAGAATCTAACTCTTTGCTATTTGTGTTTAGGCCACAATGAAGATCTGTCCTCACATAGGCATTTTCATCATGATACCCCAAATCCGTCTCCTCCCAGGAGGGCCCGTCACGATACCCCGGATCCATCTCCTCCCAGGAGGGCCCGTCACGATACCCCGGATCGGTCTCCTCCCAGGAGGGCCCGTCACGATACCCCGGATCCGTCTCCTCCCAGGAGAGCTCGTCACGATACCCCGGATCCGTCTCCTCCCAGGAGGGCCCGTCACGATACCCCGGATCCGTCTCCTCCCAGGAGGGCCCGTCACGATACCCCGGATCCGTCTCCTCCCAGGAGGGCCCGTCACGATACCCGGGATCCCTCTCCTCCCAGGAGGGCCCGTCACGATACCTGGGATCCCTCTCCTAGGAGGGCCCGTCACGATACCCGGGATTCGTCTCCTCCCAGGAGGGCCCGTCATGATACCCGGGATCTGTCTCCTCCCAGGAGGGCCCGTCATGATACCCCGGATCCGTTTCCTCCCAGGAGGACCCGTCACGATACCCCGGATCCATCTCCTCCCAGGAGGGCCCGTCACGATACCCCGGATCCCTCTCCTCCCAGGAAGACCCGTCATGATACCCCGGATCCCTCTCCTCCCAGGAGGGCCCGTCACGATACCCCGGATCCATCTCCTCCCAGGAGGGCCCGTCACGATACCCCGGATCCGTCTCCTCCCAGGAGGGCCCGTCACGATACCCCGGATCCCTCTTTTCCCAGGAGGACCCGCCATGATACCCCAGATCCATCTCCTCCCAGGAGGGCCCGCCATGATTCTCCAGATCCTTCTCCTACCAGGAAGCCTCATCGTAATTCTATAGCTGTATCTCCTAGGAGAGTTCATCGTGATTCACCAGATCCATCTCCTCTTAGGAGAGCCCATCACAATTCCTTAGATATTTCTTCCCCTAGAAGGGCCCGCCACAGCTCCCCTGACACATCTCAACCTAGGAGGACTCTTGACTCCTCAGACACTTGGCAACTCAGGAGGGCCCGTCATGACTCCCCTGATTTGTCTCCTGATGTCACTCATTCACTGCCCAGAATGAAAAGTAGTAAAGCCCCAGAAAGAGCCTCTAGCAAGCCTTTTGCACATCAGAAGAGGCCACTGCCAAAGAACAGCAAACATGAGTGTGACTGGGACCACTCTCCTCCACGAAAAAAGCAAGCAAAGTCCCATTTTGGAGATAAGAAGCAGCTTGATTCTAAAGGTGAGCATATGACTATCCGTGAGAGGGACATATTCCCTGGGAGCTTTCTTTTGGACCTTACTTGCTTTATTAGGTGTGAGAATAGAGTTTCTTTGGAAAAGTTTTGAAAAGTGAGAGGCTGGACTCAGTAATATTAAAAATTACAGTGGCAGGGAGGTAAGTTAGTATATATCCTTTTATTTACTCTTCCCATCTCATGTAAAAGTACAACGTGTTTCTTGCAGAAGCTTCAGAATGTACAGAAATATATAAAGAAGCAGAAAAAATGTGACACAGATTTGCAGAGGCAATCAGTGTTGTAGCCAGTGTCCTTTTAGTTTTTTTGGTAGGCATTTTTTATGTGATTGAGCCTTGGCTATGCAGAACATACATATTGTATGTGTAATGTTGCCTGTTCTTTTTACTTAACATAATCTTCCTCATGCCATAAAACAACTCTATGTTAATATAATTGTTAATGGTGGTCCATTATGTAGTAAACTTAACTATTTCCCTAATGTTGCATGTTTTTGGTTATTTCTAAGTTTTTGCTTTTATAGTTCTGTGATGGACATCCTTGTATACTATTGTCACTATTTTAGGTTATTTCTTTATCTACTTCTAGATAGATTTCCTGGAAATTGAGTTACTTCTAGATAGGCTTCCTAGAAAACTAGGAAGTTGATTTCCTGGGTCAGAAGGTGTGGATGTTTTTAAGACTGTTGATATATACTGCTCTTTGGGAGGTGATTTGTGATGCTTATACACACGTGCATCTAGAACTTAGACCTGTGTGGTGAGATTTTTTTACTTTATCTTTTGTTCCTAGATACTATTTTAATTTGTAAATTAAAATGCTTTGTTATTCTTTAGTCTGAGAACATCAGGTTATGTTCTAGGAATTTCTGACTTTTGCCACACCACAAGTTGTTTTGCCCATTGTCGGGGTAGGATATAGTTGATAGTGTGTTGAGATCTCACATACTGGTCATAGTCACTAGTCCCTTGGGAATAGAACCCCATATTCTACCTTTTGGTCAGAAAAGTTGTCCTTGACTTTGCTCTGTTCCCATGTCATCCATGTTTGTCTTTAGGTTAATGATAGTTCTTCACAGAAAGACTAAATAAATACTGTGTACTAGCTTGGTAAAGTCTTTTTTTTAGATTTTTCCAAGGGGATTAGAGAAGTTATTCTTTAATTTCTAGGCTCTTCTTCCAGCTATAGAAAATTTCATAAAAGTTCTTCACCTACGAGACAACAGAGTCACACATTGGATTTTTCCTACCCAGGTGATGGCCAGAAAGCCTCTGATTCAGATCTTTCTCCTCCGCGGCATAAACAAAGTCCAGGGCATCAGACTTCTGATTCAGATCTGTCACCTCCACGGAATAGGCCTAGACACCGGAGCTCTGATTCTGACCTCTCTCCACCAAGGAGGAAACAGAGGACCAAATCTTCTGATTCTGACCTGTCTCCACCTCGAAGGAGTCAGCCTCCTGGAAAGAAGGTAAGGATTTTCAGAAGTCATATTCTTCTTTTATAGTGGCTCTTCTCTTGTAGCTTTTGTACAAGTCCCAAAGAATCAAGCCAGAGGAGAAGGACATAGCTCTTGGAAATGTAGTAAATCTTAGTTAAAAGAACCTTTGGAACTATTTCCTTCTCTCTGAAGGCAGAGTTGGCTGTAACCCAGCCCAGATGGACTTATAAATACCAGATTTCTCAAGTAGCTTCTGTCTCTATAACCTTATAGTTCTGCAAATCTCAGTTTAATAGATCTAGAAAAACTTCCTATTTTCTTATAAATAAACTGAGGCTGTAGTTTGCAGAGTGGACTTTGGAGCACAAGTCTTGTGTTAAATGGATTACATATTTAAATCCTATTTCTGCCTCTTAATTTTATCTGTGAGATTTGGGCAAGATACTTAATATCTCTAAAACTCAGCTTCTTTGTTTGTAAAATGTGAGTAATAGTAGTACCTACTTCATAAGGTTATTGTGAGAATTAAAGTAAGCATTTAGTGTTAGTGATTTATTATTATAAATTGGACTACAGGTGTCTGTATCCAGAACTTAAAGAGAAATACTTAAAATATAAAAACTAATTTTAGAAATTGTATTTTCTGGGAAGTCAATGTTTTGTTTTAAATCTATGATAAAGCTCGATGAATTAGCCATTAAAAAAATCCACACGAACCCTGAGTTATAAAGAACACTAGCAGTAGTAAAGGTATCTCATTTGTGAATTTGTTAAGAAAGAGAATGATGGAGGCTTGGTGTGCATTTTATTCTCCAAGGCAGACTTTTCAGGTACATCTTCTCTGTAGACGACTCTGAGAAGACTGGTTCTGGCAAGGTAGACCAGTAGCCTGTTCTAACCCAGGAAATGAGATTTCTCTCTTTGGGGGAACAAAGTGAGGTCTCTTTCAACTGGAACCCTTGACATTTTTATGTATCTGTTTAGTCCATGGACAACTTAAGATTAATCAAATTTAGTTGCTCAAGGATATCAGGATATACCGTGTACTCCATTTGTGAGTTGGTTTGCTATCTTGGTACAAAGTGGATATTAGTAAAAAATTTTCATTTGGTTATATATTCTGTTGTTATCCTGAAATATATCCACACTTTAAGTATCTTAGGTTTGCTTGAGTTTATACTTTAAATGGAATATTTTATCAGTGCAGGTCTCTTAGAGCTTGATACTGGCTTTTGATCAGATGACCTAAGAGTGAGTCTTCATGTGTGCAGTTTGTGTACTGAAAAGTCAGAAATACAAATGCTTAGCCATCCTTTTGACATATTGTTGGTGTGTGTTTCTGCTTACTCTTAAACTTATGGTACTATTAAATTTTCCATGAAATTAGATTTTCTTTTATATTTTGTGAATCCTGTGGTAAATAATGAGACTATAAAGTTAGAGTTTTTGGTTTGGTTATTGCTGGTCATCAGACAAAAATGCAACTAACTATATACCCATGGAACCTACTGCTGCATTGTCTCATTAATGTTTCCATTGAATAGGCTGCACATATGTATTCTGGGGCTAAGACTGGGTTGGTGTTAACTGACATACAGCGAGAGCAGCAGGAGCTCAAGAAACGGGACCAAGAAACTGTGACACTTGAAGGTAAAAATAGAAAGTTCAGAGACCAATCTAGGCTATGTAGGCTTTTATTTCTTTTTAATGTAGCTTATTGTACCTGATAATTTAAACTTTTGATTGCTATCAGATTTTAGTTCTGGCTTTACATTATTTTAACTTCTTTTTTTTTTTTTTTTTTTTTGAGACAGAGTCTCACTTTGTTGTCCAGGCTAGAGTGAGTGCCGTGGCATCAGCCTGGCTCACAGCAACCTCAATCTCTGGGGCTCAGCGATCCTACTGCCTCAGCCTCCCGAGTAGCTGGGACTACAGGCATGCGCCACCATGCCCGGCTAATTTTTTCTATATATATTTTTAGTTGGTCAATTAATTTGTTTCTATTTTTTGGTAGAGACGGGGTCTCGCTCAGGCTGGTTTCGAACTCCTGACCTTGAGCAATCCGCCCGCCTCGGCCTCCCAAAGTGCTAGGATTACAGGCGTGAGCCACCGCGCCCGGCCTAACTTCTTAATAGGTCTAAGTCATTCTTTCCTTCTTGAAAAATGTCATCTCTCAGGCCTAGTGCCAGTATGCACCTAGATGTTGGTAGGAACTTGTGATCTGGCTGCAAAAGTTCTGATATCTAGCATCAGAAGCCTAAAAGATTGATTTTATTTGTTAGAATATTGTTTCTTATTTTGATACCTGATATTTATCTTAAAAAGTGTAATTTCCTTTTGCAGCTGAATTCCAATATGCGGAAACTGTATTTCGAGATAAGTCTGGTCGTAAGAGGAATTTGAAACTGGAGCGTTTAGAGCAAAGGAGGAAAGCAGAGAAGGACTCAGAGAGAGATGAACTGTATGCCCAGTGGGGAAAAGGGTAAGGGAACTACTGAAAGGGAAAACAAAATGGCAGTGACTGGAACAAATAATTTCTTTGCTTTTCTGATCATTAGTTCATTGTTCTGCCTTCAAAGCTGTTACCAGGAATGGGAAATTTGTTGTTGAATCTCCTTCCTAGTGTACTGGTGTATCCCACACTGCCAGTGGGTGTTCTAGGAATTTTATCCTGTTTAATATTTGGCCTAGGCTACTAGAAAGAGGAGGTTCTCCAAATTTAGCAGTGTGGTCCATCTCAGTGTAGGTGTGGAAATGCCAAACAGGATAGCAAACACTCTTGGTTCTTTTTTGCCCAGGCTTGCCCAGAGCCGGCAACAGCAACAAAATGTAGAGGATGCGATGAAGGAGATGCAAAAGCCTCTGGCCCGCTATATTGATGACGAAGATCTGGATCGGATGTTAAGAGAACAAGAAAGAGAGGGAGACCCCATGGCCAACTTCATCAAGAAGAATAAGGCCAAGGAGAACAAGAATAAGAAAGGTGGGACTTTTGGGATTCATCAGAGCTGGAAGTGACTTATATGAAGAGGGAGAATCATTAGGGTGCTGATAATAGCTTTGTGCAAAGAAGCCTTTCTCATAAACTTTTAAATTCATTTTATTTGTCTGTGAGTTAGATTCAACTCAATTTTTCTGTATAGAAATGTTTTCCCCATTGCCATCAGTTCTGAATTAAATTATGTACATAATAACTTCTTTTTTCTTGCTCTCGTTAGTGAGACCTCGCTACAGTGGACCAGCACCTCCTCCCAACAGATTTAATATCTGGCCTGGATATCGCTGGGATGGAGTGGACAGGTAAGCCTGAGTATTCCCTACATTTCTGTTTTCTTTTCTACCAGACTTTAATCTTCTCTAACCATTCTTAAATCATTCTACACTCTTCCTCATTCTGTGTTCTAATCACAAGGTGAAAAATATGCACTTAGCTTGCTTCTATTTGTGAGGTCCATGGATCCTATTTTCCATGCTTGGAACACTCCTCCTTCTGTTTCTTTTTCAAAATACTTCTTAAAGCTCTGGACAAACTACTTAGGTGGTTCAGATTGGACATCTTTGTTTCAAACATTGGTCACTGTTAATGTTATTTTCTTAGATGTGAAGAGGATGAGTGATGAGTTGTGGTCTGAAGCTCCTTTATGTTGTGTCTTTGAGTCACTTGTAAGGTCTCACAGATCCCTGTCACCTGCTAGCATCTGTCCATCTACCAGCATCTGTACCCACATACTCTAAATTCCTGTATGTTATGATGAATGAACTATATTTGCTCCTATCCAAATTCAGTCCCTCTGCTTACATTTTAGACCCCATCTTCTTTTGTCTACTAAAGGACATTTTCTAATATCTAGCACAGTGATAATCAAACTTTTTAATCTCAGAACTCTTTTATACTCTTAAAAATTATTGAGAACCCCACAAAGCTTTTTTTTTTTTTTGGGGGGGGAGACAAGAGTTTTACTCTGTTGCCCAGGCTAGAGTGCCATGGCGTCAGCCTAGCTCACAGCAACCTCAAACTTCTGGGCTCAAGTGATCCTCCTGCCTCAGCCTCCCGAATAGCTGGGACTATAGGCATACAGCACCATGCCCGGCTGATTTTTTTTTTTTTTTTTGGTGTGTGTGTGTGTATTTTTTTTAGTTGTCCAGGTAATTTCTTTCTATTTTTTTAAGTAGAGATGGGATCTCGCTCTTGCTCAGGCTGGTTTGAACTCCTGACCTTGAGTGATTCTCCTGCCTCGGCCTTCCAGAGTGCTAGGATTACAAGTACGAGCCACCATGCCTGGCCTCAAAAAGCTTTTCTTTGTGTGGATGATATCTATTGATATTTACCATCTTAGAAATCAACACTGAGATGTTTAAAAAGTATGTATTAATTCATTCTAAAATAATAAAGGCATTTCATATTAACATAGTTACCATATGTTTTTATGAAAAATAACTATGTTTTCCAAATGAAAAAATAAAAGAATGGCATTGATTTACATTTTTGCAAATCTCACTGATGTCTGGCTTGATAGTAGACAGCTTGATTCTGCATTTGTCTGTTGTGATGTGTTGTTCAGCTGATGTATAGGAAGAAAATTTAGCCTCACACATAGGTAGTTAGAAAAGGAAGGCTCTTATATTTTTTGACATTACATAAACATTCAGCAAGTGCTAGTTTCTTAAAGGTTAAACGTGGTATCTGAAATCAGATCAAAGAACTTTTCATACTGTTATATTAAAACCCATTGATCTTTTTGTACTCTGAGTGGCTCTTTTACCCATGCATGATTTTACAACACCATGCATTGGTCATTTGTAAAATATTGATTTGCTAAAATATAGGCAGGTATACATCTTCCTTTCCAGTCTGGGTGCCTTTTATTTCTTTTTCTTGCCCTGTTGCATTAGCTAGGACTTCCAGTACAGATGTTGAATAGAAGTAGTAAGAGCAGACATCTTTGCCTTGTTCCTAATCTTAGAAGGAAAACATTTAGTCTTTTACCATTAAATGTGTTTCTACAGATGGGGTGGGTATGGAGCTAGGCAGTGATGCCAGCGAGTGGCTGTAAATACAAGTGAAGCTAGCTCGCCAGCCGCTCACCTCCTGCTGTGTGACAGGTTCCTAAGTTTCATGGAAGATAATTTTTCCATGGGTGGGGTGTTGGGGGGTGGGAGTTCAGGTGGTGATGCAGCCCTGTTCCTAACAGGCCATAGACCAGTTGTGTACTGTAGCGTTATCAGGTTGAGAAAGTTCCCTTCTATTTCTAGTTGGCTGAGAGTTGTTTTTCATGAATGTATGTTGGATTTTGTTCAAAAAATTTTCTAATTCTCCTTTTGATTTATTCTTTGATCCATGGGTTATTTAGGAGTGCGTTGTTTATTCCAAATATCTAGACTTTTCTAGGTGTCTTACTGCTGTTGACTTCTGATTTAATTCCCTTATGGTCAGAGAATATACTCTATAATATTCTGATCTTTTAATATTTATTAAGATGTGTTTTATGGCCCAGTATCTGGTCTACCTTGTGAATGTCCTATTTGTACTAGGAGAGAATGTATATTCTCGAGTTATTTGGGGTAGTGTTTTACAAATGTCAGTCGGGTCAATATGGTTAATAGTGTTTAGATCACCTGTATCCTGGGTTGGTTTTTTTTTTTGTTTTTTCTGTCAATTACTGTTAATTGTGGATTTTTTGTTTCAGCTGGTTGATTGTTTTTCAACTCTAAAATTTCCATTCAATAGCTTATATTTCTCTGCTGAGATTTTCCATCTGTTTATTTATTATGAGACATTTCCCTCTCTCTTGAGAATATCTATAATGTATAATTGGTATTTTGAAGTCCTATCTTCTAATTGCATAATTGGTTCCCCAAAGATTGACATCTATTGACAGCTTTTACTTGAATATGTATCATATTTTCCTGTTTATTTACAAGTATGGTCATTTTTTCATTAGTAGACATTATGAATGATATATTGTAGAGACTTTAGATTCTCTTATACTGTATTTCTCTTAAGTATGTTGGCTTTTATTCTGACAGATAGTTAACATCGCTGTGTTTGAACTCCAGACACTGTCTCCTTTGAAGTAGATAGCATCTAAAATCTCTGCTCAGTTCCTTCTGTTTCTAGCTGCTACTTTTTCTTTGAGCCTGATGTGGTTTTCTCTGCACATGCATAGTTCAACAGTTAGCCAAGGATTTAAGTGGAGTTTGTTGTAGATTTTGGGGTTCATTCATCCCAATTCCCTCCCTTCCAAGATTTCTCCCCTAATTTTCTAGTTGCTCTGTCTACTTTGCCCTGACACTTTACGCCAGTAAGCCTGTGGCTTTCTGCTTTCCTGAGCTGTGCAGATTGGGAAGTAGTCCTCTGGCAAAAGACTCAAATCTCTTTTCACACATAGATACCCATCCAGTTTATGCCTGCTTTTGGTCGCTCTCCCATGCCTTCAAATACTTTCAAATACTTGCATTTCTGATCTTGTTCGGGTCTTTTATAGTTACTACTTGAGAGTATGTTAGTCTGCTCTTGTTATTGATCCATGACTGGAATCCACCTGCTGGGCCTACGGCATTGTCTTCTGTCCCTCAGGGTGCCATCAAAATCCAGAACACTTGTTCCACATATTGGCACATGTCCTTAGTGTGGCTGTGGTTTCAGGCTAGTTTACGTCTTTGGTTTGCAGCTCAATGTATATGGGCTCTTTGGTAGTAGAAGAATTTTTCAGAATACTGATTTGCCATATAGCCAGAAGTAGGTATTTTTATAGCCACAACCTACAGATGTTCCCTGCTACACTGAGTCTTTTTGGGTTTTTTTTGGCTAGTGGGGAGCACCCAAAACTTAGAACTCTCCTTGACCTAGTGTTTTACTGCTCTTTAATTTGTCATCTTTCCCAGTTGCTTTTCTCCACTTCTTTTTCTTGTTTTATCCTAGATTTCTGCTTTTATTTTCCTTTGTCATCCTTGCTTTCTTTCTGTTATTTATTCTTTCATCACCTTTTCTATTAATAGTCGTGTCTCTTTTTGGGAATATTTCCAGAACAGATCTATAGTATGTTACAATCAGAAAAACCCATAAGATCAATTGACCTAACCCCCATTATTTAAGAGAGGCTGAAGTCCAATAAATAAGCAGTTTGCCTAGAGTCATGCAGCTCACCTGATAAAACTGGAATTAGAACCCTGGGTTCCTGATTCTCTAGTCCAAAGCTCTCTCCACTGTGAATTTTCTTGCAATTTATTTTTTGATTCTGCTTAGGATTTGGTTTGTTATTCATATCTCTTTTATATGCATTATCATCTTAGTGTTCATTCTCATAAGTATTAAATACTTATTCCCCAGGGCAAAAAATGGTGGTTTCTTGGTGCTCTGGGATACCATTCATGTCTCCAAGGTTGGAAATGTTGCTGTTTATAATAAGCTTTCCTTCTTCCCTCTATCACATCACTTATCTCTTATCCCTTAGGGAAGGCCTTAGCATACATGTTATAACTTTAAGTAATTATTGGGTACCAGCGATTCCACAATTAGTGTGAGACAGTCCCTGAGCCTAGGAGTTCACTTGCTATCTGGAGAAGACAGACAAATAATTTCAGTGCTCTTAGGTTAGTGCAAAAGTAATTGAGGTTTTGGACCACGAATTTTAAATCGTTATAAGTAGGCTCAAACACATCTTTATTAATCAAAATAGGAACCATTGCAGTCAACACAATTTTGCCAATGAGAAATAAGTTTGTTTATTATTCTTGTAGTGTAAAAATATGTGCTTCGAGATTCAGCGAACTCTTGGAAAGCATTTTCTTCATCCTGCTGGTTGTGGAGCATTTTCCCTGCAAAAAGTTGTCGAGATGCTTAAAGAAGTGGTAGTCGGTTGGCGAGAGGTCAGGTGAATATGGCAGATGAGGCAAAACTTTGTAGCCCAATTTGTTCAACTTTTGAAGCGTTGGTTGTGTGACTGGGTTGGGCGTTGTTATGGAGAAGATTTAGGCCCTTTCTGTTGACCAGTGCCGGCTGCAGATGTTGCAGTTTTCAGTGCATCTCATCAATTTGCTGAGCATACTTCTCAAATGTAATGGTCTTTCCAGGATTCAGAGGGCCGTAGTGAGTCAGACTAGCAGCAGACCACCAAACAGTGACCCTAACCTTTTTTTGGTACAAGTTTGGCTTTGGGAAGTGCTTTGGAGTTTCTTATCAGTCCAACCACTGAGCTGGTTGTTGCTGATTGTCATATGAAATCCACGTCACAGTCCAATTGAGAAATGGTTCATTGTTTTTGCGTAGAAGAAGAGAAGATGACACTTCAAAATGATGATTTTTTTTTTATTTTCAGTCAGCTCATGAGGCAACCATTTATTGAGCTTTTTCACTTTCCAGTTTGCTTCAAATGTGAAACAACCATAGAATGGTCGACATTGAATTCTTTGGCAACTTCTCCTGTAGTTGTAAGAGGACCAGCTTCCTCTGATTGGTCTCAATTGGTTATTGTCAACTTCCGATGGCCAGCCACTATACTTATCTTCAAGGCTCTCATCTCCTTTGCAAAACTTCTTGAACCACCACTGCACTATATGTTTGTTAGCAGTTCCTGTGCCTATTGCATTGTTAATGTTGCAAGTCGTCTCTGCTGCTTTACGAACTCATATAAGAAAATCTCTCGAATTTGCTTTTTGTCTAAAAAAGCATTTCCATAGTCTAAAATAAATATAAAATAAACAGCAAGTAATAAGTCATTAGCAAAAGAGCATAAAGTGAGAAATGCACATTAAAATGTTGTATAGCATAACCACATTTAAGAAGGTATTCCAATATCAAACAGCAAATTTCAGCAATGCTAAAACCACAATTACCTTTACACCAACCTAATACTTGGTTAGTGATGCTATAGAGGATTTTCAAGGCATTCTGGGAGCACAAAGGAGGAGTAAATTCAGCCTTAGGAGGATGTGGTGAGGGAATGCTTCCTAGATGTCAGTAACCACCCACGATAAAAAGGAAGTGTGTTAAAGGAAGAGTGTCCTATATGTGCACAGTCATAAGGATATGGTGTTATGGGGGAGTGGGAAGGGGATGGGAATAAGCAGTTTGCTGTTGCTGGATAGCACAAAGTGTGAAGTGGACTTGTATGAGGTGTACAGCAAAGGTTGGCAGGGCCCTGGTCACACCTTGGTAGACTTTCTGAGGAGCTTGGTCTTCACCTTAGAGGCAAAGGGAGCCATTGAAGGATTAAAAACAGATCTACATTTGAGATAGACAAATCATTATGGCAGTAATGTGAAGGATTTGAAAGGCATAAATTTGGAAGTAGAGAGAGTAGATACAAAGGTGTTGCAGTAGCTCAGGTTAAAGGTGACGAAGATCTGAACCGTGACCTTCAGACAGTGGTAGTAAGGATAGTGAGATAAGAGGAAGTAGGGAAATGGTTAGGGGATAAGGTGGTGGGACCTTTGACTGATTTGAGGAGAAGGAAGGAACACTCATTGGATTTGGCAACAAGGAATGCCATTGATGACCTGAAAAAGAGCTACTTTTTGGCATTGTCCAACAAAAGCCAGGTTCTAATATGTTGAGGAGTGAATGAAAAATGAGGAAACAGGGATAGTGGATACAGGTTCTTTCAAGAAGTTTAGATAAGACTGTGATAAATTTAGATAAGACTGTAAGAATGCATAGTAATTGGAAGGGATTTAAGGTCCATTTACTACTTCCTCGAAACTCACCCCTGTATCAGCTTCCATAACACCCTACTGGTTCTTTTATCGTTTCTTCTTGGCCACCTTTGTGAGCATCTCTTCCTCTGTGCATTCCTTAAATGTTTCTCAGGGCTCCACCCATAATCCTTAGCGTTCTCACTCTGGCCGAATATTACCTAGTCGTATTTTCAGCCACCACCTGTATGTACATGATTTTCAAGTCTGTATTTTCAAGTTGGTCTGGTGTATTTAGCTGTGTGTTGAATTTCTCTATTCAGTGTATTGAGAACTGAACTCACCAGCTTCCACCACTTTAAGCCTGCTCCTACTCTTGTGCTCTCTGTCTTGGTTAGCCTCATTCATCTAGTCACTCAAATTATTAACCTGTGAGGCAAACTTACCTCCTTCTTCTTTGTCCTTATGTACCTAATCAATCATGGAGTCCTACTAATTTTGTCTCCTGTGTCTTTTCTCTATTGTCCCTCTTTGTCATTGCCTTCATCATCTGTTGCCTGGACAATTGCAGTGATTTTCCTGCCTCAGATCTCCAGAGTGATCTTTCGAAATGCAGTTTATGCTCCTGCTCTAAACCCATGCTTTCTGGATGAACTCCAAGCTCTTTACCATGGCCTACAAAGCTCATTATGATTTGGCCTTTGCCTGCCTTTCCAGCTTTGACTTGTGGTTACTCCCTTTGTCATGCTTCAGGCACTAGCCATACCAGTTTGCCTTTGGTTCCCTGTACGTGCCAGGCTACTTCTTATTTCTGTGCCTCTGCTCTTGTTGCTCACATTGTGATCTGTTCTGAAGTAACCTCCAGACCCTTCTGGCCCTCCCCAACCCCAGCCCTCCGGTAAGCATGAGGCCTGTCTTACCCATCCCTCAGTACCCATTTTACCATGCTTCCCCCAAGCTGAGTAAGGTCCCATTCTGTTTCCATTATAGCCCAGACATAGTTCTACTATAGTTTATGCTCTTATTTTAATTATTTGTTTAAATGTCTATCTCCCCAACTAATTTGCTCTGTCATTCTCATTTTCATATAGTACCTACCACTGTGCCTAGTATATAATGAGAATTCAATAAATGTTCGTTTAATGAATGGATAAAGTATAAGATGTGGACATCAGCTGAGAGTGAGCTGGGTCTTTAGAGAGTGGTAAAGATTTGAAATAGTTTTTGAAGAATGGGAGAAGCCTTTGCACAAGGACTAAGAAAAAGATAAATTATATATTTTGTCCTGTTGGTTCTGTTGCTTATGCCTTAAATGTTTTCATATAGCTGCCTTATGTTCCTCACTACTCATTATATTGTGAACTGTTCTCTTTCTTTTAAAATAAATGTCCAGTTCAAGGTTCTGTCTGAATAATGTATCTCTTTTGGTTACAGATCTAATGGTTTTGAACAAAAGCGCTTTGCCAGACTTGCCAGCAAGAAGGCAGTGGAGGAACTTGCCTACAAATGGAGTGTTGAAGATATGTAACTTTTCTGAGGCTGTGGGGATGGCTATGGGTTGTGTTAGTGGGCAAAGGACACAACAAGACATCCAGATATATCAGTTGTCTATGCTAACAGTGAGTGCCCATACAAACCAGCAACTTGTTGAATGCCAGTTTTGGCCACAGAAGAATATGCAAGACCTGATCTTTGGACTGAGGTACCTGTACCGCTCAGGTATGACAACACTGGTTATTGCTGGCTTTCAGAAGAAGCATTGGTTTCTCAGTATCCCAGGGTTTCTTCTTAATTGGGGGTTTTCTTTTTCATTTTTAAATAAACATACATTTATTTTTTTAAAATTATATTCTCAACTGGGTATTCTGTTTTGGGGAAGAATACAAGCTTATATTGAATCCTTGGGGATCTTGGGGGGTGATAGTTGGATTTTTCATTAATTTAGAATGCAATGTGAACAAAAACTTTCTCCTTCCTCTGATAAAACAAGAATTATCTTTCCTAAAGATAAAAAAAAAAAGAATTATCACTAAACCAGACTCAGGAATAGAAACACAGATATTTGGAGCTGTGATGCGTGATAAAGGTGGGGTCACAAATTAGTGAGGGAGATGGAAAATAGTGCTCAGAAAAATTGGCTTAAATGGACAGAAATAAAGTTGGATCCTCATACTATATAAAACAAAAACAAACCCCAAAGCAATTAAAGACCTAAAATGAAAGGTAACACGATAAAGCTAGTAGGAACAAATGATGAACGTCTTTGTGACCTTGGAGTGAAGATAGATTTCTTAAATAAGATCGCGAAGCACAATCCATAGATAGTTTTGACTACTTCATATGGTGCTCCACAGTAGTAATATTCTCCAGGGATTAGAGGGTTGGGGTGGTAAACTCATAACTAATGGACACGGTGAGCATTGTAGAGGGGAAGGGCATGCCTCTAACCCTCGCTTGGATGAGGCAAAGACATACAATGTAACCAAAATGTTTGTACCCTCATAATATCCTGAAACTAAAAAAAAGAAAAGATTCAGCGAAGCATCTCATAGTCAAAGCTAAAGGTGGTGGGTATAGATTAGGGGGAAATATTTGCAATGTCTAAAACTGACAAGGGATTACATATATAAGGGTTTGAATATAGAAAGAGCTCCTGCAAATCAGGAAGAAAAAGACAACATCAAATAAAAATATGTGAAGGATTTGAGTAGGTAAAATCAAAAGAGAAGACCAAAATGGCTACTAAATGTATTTACTTCACTAGTAGTTAGAGAAATGCAAATTAAAACACTGAGCTTCTACTTTACATCTATTAGTTTGGCAAATAAGCAAGAACCTGCACTTTCATAGGGAATCAAGCAAGACTCATGGAAAATTTCATCTGGTGCATCTATTCTGGAGAACAAATTTATTGTTCTGGAGAACAAACTTATTGAAATTAAGTAATATCTAGGATACAATATTGCATAATTTTTCAGAGTGTGGCTCTAGAGCTATACTGCTTGAATTTGAATCCCAGCACTGTTATTTGCTAGCTGTGTGTCTTTGGTAAGCCACTTCTCTGTGCCTTAGTTTCTTCATCTGTGAAATGGAGATAATAGTATCAACCTCATAGGTGTTTTTTTTTTTTTTTTGAGATAGTCTTACTCTGTCTCCTTGGCTAGAGTGCAGTGGCATCATCATAGCTCAATGCAACCTCAGACTCCTGGGCTCAAGCAGTCCTCTTACTTCAGCCTCCTGTGTAGCTAAGACTACAGGTGTGTGCTACCTGTAGGTGTGTGCCACACCCAGCTATGTTTTTTCTGTTTTTTATAGAGATGGGCTCTCGCTCTTGCTCAGGCTGGTCTTGAACTCCTGACGTCAAGAGATCCTCCCACCTTAGTCTCCCAGAATGCTAGAATTACAGGTGTGAGCCACTGCGCCTGGCCACCTCATAGGTTTATTGTAAGCTTAGAACAATGTCAGGCACAAAGTGTCATAAAATTACTAGCTATTATTATTATCATTGTCATCATTATCATTAAGTGTGGTAGCCAGCTTCCAAGATGGCCCCCAATAATCTCTGCTCTCTGGTATTTAAGCCCTGTGTAGTCCCCTCCCACAATGAATATTGCTGACCTGTGTAACCAATAGGATGTACTGGAAGCGTGTGACTTCTGTAGCTATGTCATAAAAGATACTGAAGCATCTGCCTTGTACTATCTTGGATCCTTGCTCTAGAGAAAGCCAGCTTCTATGTCATGAGAACACTCAAGTTGCCAACCCTGTGAGTGAACCACCTTGGAAGTGGATCCTCCAGCTCTCTTTAAGCCTTCAGGTTTCTGCAGCCCTGATCGACAGCTTGACTATGGATTTATGAGAGATCCTGAGCCAGAACACCCAGCTCCAAGTCCTTGACCCAAAGAAGCTATGAGATAATAGAAGTATAATATGTTTTTAAAAATCGCTTTATTGAGATAATTTATGTATTACATAATTTGCCCATTTAAAGTATATGATTCAGTGTTTTTTAGTATATCATAGAGTTGTATAACTATCACCACAATTAATTTTAAAACATTTTCATCACCTTGTGGATATAAGAGACCTTGTACCCATTAGCAGTCACCCTCCCCTCCCTTTTCCCCAGCTCCCCCAGCCTTAGGCAACCATGGATCACTTTTTGTCTCTGTAGATTTGCCTATTTTGGACTTTCATATGATATGTGAACGGGACCATCAGACAGCATTGTGGCCTTTTGTGTTTGGCTTCTTTAGCTTCGGATAATGTTTTCAAGGTTTATCCATGTTGTAACATGTATTAGTACTTCATTCTTTTTTATAGCTGAATAATATTCCCTTGTGTGGATATACCACATTTTATTTATCCATGCATCGTTTGATGGGTATTTGAGTTGTTTCTACTTTTTGGCTACTGTGAATAATGCTGCTGTAAACAATTCGTGGATAAGGTTTTGTGTGGTATGTATGCTTTCATTTTTCTTGGATATATATTAATACCTAGAAGTGGACTTGCTGAGTCATATGTAACTCCATGTTTAACTTTTTGAGGAACTGCCAAATTTCTTTCAAAGAAATGTATTTTCTCCACATCCTTGCTAACACTTCTTACTGTCTTTTTGATTTTAGCCATTCTAGTGGGTGTGAGGTGGTATATTTCATTATGGTTTTTTTTTTTGAGACAGAGTCTCACTTTGTTGCCCAGGCTAGAGTGAGTGCTGTGGCGTCAGCCTCGCTCATAGCAACCTCAATCTCCTGGGCTCAAGCGATCCTCCTGCCTCAGCCTCCCAAGTAGCTGGGACTACAGGCATGCGCCACCATGCCCGGCTAATTTTTTCTATATATATTAGTTGGCCAATTAATTTCTTTCTATTTATAGTAGAGACAGGGTCTCCCTCTTGCTCAGGCTGGTTTCAAACTTCTGACCTCCAGCAATCCGCCCGCCTTGGCCTCCTATAGTGCTAGGATTACAGGCGTGGGCCACCTCACCCGGCCTCATTATGGTTTTGATTTGCATTTTCCCAATGGCTAATGATGTTGATCATCTTTATATATGTTTTAGAGAAATGTTTATTCAAATCCTTTGCCTATTTTTCATTTGGGTTATTTGTCTCATATATATATATATATCTTTCTCATATATATATATACACACTCTTATATAAAGAGTTCTTTATATGTCTTGGTTACAAGTTCCTTACCAGATAAGTTATTTGCAAATATTTTCTCTCATTCTGTGAGTTGTTATTGTTTTAAACTGCTAAGACATTTAGGGTGGATAATTTGCATTTAGGGTAGTTGTTATACTGCAACAGAAAACTAATACATTAAATACATACATACATGACAGCAGTTCCACTCCTCGGTTATATCCTTCAGGGAAACCTGCACAAATCCTCAAGGCGTTACATATAAGGATGTTTATCTGTGTATAGTTTGGATAGCAAGAAGTTGGAAGCAACTTTCCATCACTAAGGGAATTGATAAGCAAAATGTGGTATATGCATATGATGGAATTTTAAAAGCAGTCAGATGTTGGCTGTTAGGACCTTAGCAACATGGCAGACTCCAGGTCAGGCGTCCTCAAACTACAGCCCGAATGCCATATGCGAGTGTTTTTGCCTGTTTGGTTTTTTACTTCAAAATAAGATAAGTGCAGTGTGCATAGGAGTTTGTTCATAATTTTTTTTAAGCTATAGTCGGCCCTCCAACGGTCTGAGGGACAGTGAACTGGCCCCCTGTTTAAAAAGTTTGAGGACCCCTGCTCCAGGTGAAGAAAGAAAGAAACGAGATTTACAGCAAAAATCAGCTAAGGAAATTACACACAAAACATTTTTTTAAGGAGGCTGATATATACCTTTATTAATAGAAGAGGGTCTGGGAGGGAATGGCATGGGACTAGAATGGAGAAGGAAGGGAGGAAAGGGAAACAAAAGAGGGTTGGGTGGATGTGTGGATCAAAGTGATATTGTGCTATGAACTAAGGATTGTGATCAACTCAGTTCCGTGCACTGAAGGCCCTAAGTGCGGCTCCAGAAGCAAGGTCTTACTCTAATGGTATTGACATTTAGTACCTGTATTAGTTAGGGTAGGTTAAACTGCTACAGCAGACTCCAGATAGAAGTTTTTTTCCTCTCTGCTTACTCAATGTCCAGGTAGTTTCAGATTGAAGAAGTGGGAGGGGATACTCTATATAGTTGTTTAGAGATCAGCCTGATGCCAACTTCAACATGGTTTCCAGGGTTGCTTTAGGCCTTGCCATTTTAGTGAGTTAAGCAGAGCTTGGAGGATTGGGCCCTCCCTAGAACTGGCACACACTTCCACTCGTTCTATGGACTAGAACCTTGTCGCAAGCCTCCCATTTAATTCAGGGAGCCTGAGATGTGTGCTCAAAAAGAAGGGAAAAATAGATGTTGTTGGACAGTTATCTCTGCCACATTATGCACTTCTCAGACTCCTGAAGAAAGGCTATTCATCCCTCAACCATTTGAGAGATACATGGATTTGAAATAATTTTGAGATCTGGAAATCCCAAAGGGACTCCATTCTCTAATGGAAATATCAACTGGGATCACTTACCAAGTTAGGAATGTCTCTTCCTTAACTCTGGCCAGTGATTGTCAGAGAAGAGCTGAGGTGGGAAGATGAAAGGTAAACAGAAATCATGCCTAGAGTCAGCATTTGTGAGATGGAAGTACTTTTAAAGCTCAGAAAATAAAAGTCTCCAGTTCTGTATGTGGCTGTTCGGAGTAGACCCTGGTGTTCTTTCCTCTACACCAAACTGCCTATCTGGTCCTTTGGCTACCTGCTGTAAACATTTTTTTTAAAAGGCCTAAGGTTAGGACATTAGTAGAGAAACTGGTGCAATCCAAATAAAATCTGGAGTTGATAGAATATGCCAATGTTAATCTATTTTAACAAATGTACCATAGCTATATAAGATGTTAATGTTAGAGGAATTGGGTGGTGAAGAGTGTACAAGATTCTGTACTATTTTTACAACTTTCTGTAAATATAAAATTATTCCAAAATAAAAAGTTTATTAAAAAAACAAACCCAAGGAATGCAGGCTCTAGACAGGATCCTACTTGAAGTTTCTGCTTTTGAGATTATATATTTGCACAAGTAAGCTATTTTGCAAGCCAGCCCCTTTCCTTGGCAGAGGTGGCATTCAACTAGCCTATCGTTACATCCCTTCTGCACAGCTCGGTTTTATTTCAACATGGGTTCAGGTTTTAACTTGATTTTTGTGGGACCCCACACTGCTTCATAGGAACAACTCCCTCGGTAGGCCGGTAGGCCCATATGGCTTTGGAAATCTTAAATCACTTTTTTTTTTCCTTAACAAAGGAATTTATTATCTATTTTCAAGCAGAGACTAAGGTATAGGGGAAGCAGATAGATTCTATTCCAGGTGAGCTCTGTGTTGAGTAGGCATTGTGGAATTTTTTAACACCCTCGCCCCACCCCAATTTCTGTGCCTTTAGGTGTGAGAACAGGGCACGTCTTCTAGGGCAGAGATCCCAAGTTCTCCAGCTCCTAGCTGGCTGTCATTTTCTAGGCTGGCCACTAGAGGGCAGTGTGATATGCCTTTTCTAGATGGAGGAAAGTGGGGCCCTGGGGCTATACACACTTTTCAGAATAATAGGCCCTTAGATCCAGTACGTAATCCTCTTTCCAGTATGGTAAAAATTTTCAAGAGAAAGACCTAGTATTATGTTTTTATCAGAATCTCCCTTTCTTGGGCTTTGGAAACCTTCCTTTACATAGAAGACTTTTTTTTCTTTTCTCAGATTCAGACCCTCTTGCTCTGCTTTCCTATGCTGCCTTTTCCACTCTCAAGTGTAGACTTAAGAAGCAGTGAGGCATGCTAAAAGGCACTGACTAGTACACTTTAAAAGGGTGAGCTTTATGGTATGTGAATAATATCTGAATTAAAAAATGTAAAAACAAAATAAAAGAACCACTGAGCAGACACTTTGGCCCAAATAGAATATAATTAGTAGCTGATACTGACTGGAAAAGCCTTGATGCTTTGCCATTGTTTCTTTGGTGAGAAGGAATCACTCTGACCTTCTTTTCCTTGGATCTCCTGGAACACACTGATCTTCAGGACTTGTGGTGCATCATTCCTTTCTAAAGAGGTTACTCACCCTTGCTCAGTTAGTGTCAAAGAGAGCTGGGTGAGGGTGTGGCCGGGCAGTCCCAATGAGAAAGCTGCGTCTAGGATGTGAGGTAGCCATCTTGAGACCTCAGTTTCCAATTCGAGCTGGTTAGGAAATGGGTGTGCTGAACTGTGTATTTTCATGTAGGGTTTTGGGCGGTCTCTCTGATTTTCTATTTTTGAGGCACAAATGCTTCTGGAGCTGGCTTTCAGGTAGGTAGACTGGCCTGTAAAAATAGATTATGGGGCTGGGCTGGAACTGAGTCATGTCTCCCCGGTGACACTGGCTTTCTTTGCAAACTACATTACTGTGTCTGGGGATGACTCAGTCTCTCCTTTGTACCTGAATGATTTCCTGTGCTCAGTTGAGAAACTGCTTGGCTCAGACTTGATGCTGTTGCTCTTGGGCTTACACAGCTTCACCCTTTCAGAAAACAAGGGCATGTAGGCTATCCTGGTGGTGGTTTGATTCTTAGGTGTTGCCTGTGAGCCCACCCCATTGGGAGGAGATAGAGTGCAGTCAGCTGAAAAAGGAGCATATTCCCCTCTCCACATACCACATCCAGCACCCTCTGTCAGCTAAGTGACTTTATCCTCTCACAGGTAAAAATATAATCTCTAGTGCTTAGTAAGCAGGGCCCCTTTTATTTTCCCTCTTTTTTTCTTTTTGGAGACAAGGTCTAATAAGCTCTGTCACCTGGGGTAGAGTGCAGTGGTGTCATCATAGCTCACTGCAACCTCAAGTGTCCTGGGCTCAAGCTATACTCCCATCTCAGCCTCCCGAGTAGTTGGGACTACAGGTGTGCGCCACAACGCCTGGCTAACTTTTGTATTTTTTGTAGAGACCGGGTCCTCCTCTTGCTCAGAGCTTGTCTTGGCCTCTGGCCTCAAGCAGTCCTCCTGCCTTGGCCTCCCAAAGTGCTAGGATTACAGGTGTGAGCCACCTTATTTTCCCTTTCTTTTGACAGGAAAGGAAGCATTTGTGTGGAGGGGTTCACTTGCTCAAAATTGCTCTGAGTTGGGAAAGAGTCAGAATTTAAACATCAGATTCTTCTCCCTGCAGTTCTCCCTCTACCCATCTTCACCCTAGTAGCAAGGTAAGAGGTGAGGGAGCAGTCTAAGGGACTGTTTCCTGCCCACAGCTGTTCTTACCAGGGGCTTCTCATAGTCTGTGTAATGGGGTCCATAGCATACTTGAGGCTGAGCTCCCCAGTCCGGGAAGAATTTCTTGCTGGTATTTTCAGTTTGGAACTTGGCTTTGAAGCCCCCAAGTGTGCTAGAGGGGCACTTACCCTTGACTCTTTTTACCAGGATCTTAGGTAGGTAAGACAACTGGGAAGAGAGAAATGCATGTCTTAGAACATCATAACAATAGTTTTAATTGCTGTCTTTCATTAAGTACTTACTATGTGTCAAACCTATGTTAAGTGTGTATGTAAGTTACCTCTGTGGTCAGGGAGAGATCGGGGTCTGAATGGTTGCACGTTAGGAAAAGCCACATCCCTGGGTCTCCCAAGAAAAGTAGGGTTGTGGTATTCTGGCAGGGTAAACTCTTTTGTTCCCTGCCTCCTGGCCTGAAGGAACAGTTAGGACCCTCATGCTGATTACCTCTTGACAGAGAGCTTGGGCACTTTACCCTGGTCACTGTGTCTCCATCAAACTTGGCAGTGCTGTTCCCACCCAGGACGGTCATCTGCTTTGGCCGGCTCAGCCCCTGATGCAGCTGAGTAGTGGGCTGCCAGCCAGGGGCAGTTTCCTTCTGCACATGCTGGATATATTTGCTGCAAGGGGAAAAATATTTCTATAGGTAGGGATCTAACCATGTGAGCCAAGTCAGACACACAAATAGAAGGGTACTGTGTCATCAGCTTGTTTCTTTGCCTTTTGTTTGTGGTTTTGCCTAAACTATACAGTGTGTTTTCAGGTAATCAAATTAAAATTTCTTTATTGCTTCTCTGAAAGTAAAATTTTAATTTATTTTATCTCTGCTTCTTTTCACACACCTCAGTTATCATGCTACAACTGAGCAGAGAGGACGAGATACCTGCAGCCAAAGGATAGGATGATGGAGAGCATTTCTAAAACACCCTGTTAGGCAGCTAGAGGCTACAGCTTAGAGACTGGGATCTTGGGAGGCAAGAACTTGGAAGTATGTTTGCTGGTGGGGAGAAGAGCAGTTTTTGTCACTAGGCTGGTGTCCCTGATCACTTCCGGGTGAAGATTATCCGTTCATCCACTGCTTTGGAATAGGACTACGGCTTCTATAACATTTGTGAAGCACGTATTGCTGGCTTTGGGTTTGAGCTGGGCCTTCTACCCTGATAGGGATGAGTCAGAGGGATGTGTAGGGCCATCCTGAGCCCCACCAGAAGCAGGCTTTAACAGGGAGAAGCCAGGACAAGGACAGGCAGGTGGAAAGCCCGATTGCCTGTGCTTTCTTGGGCACTGGATTAGACTGGTTATTCCACCTCCTGGCTTGCAGTTGGGGTTCATGTCTCCCATGGATGCACAGGGGAAGGGGCCAACCCCCAATTATGAATAGCATGCAGTTTGTCCTTATTCAAATCTTATGTAAAAGGAGAGGACTAAGTAAAGCTAAGCTAGATAGAGATCCAAGACTCCAAAATAATTAATTCTTTGCTATGTTGCCTTTTATAGCTATGTCTTTGAAATGAATGGATGACGGAGTTCTGATGTTATTACCTTTGTCTTGGGAAATAGGGTCCTTTTCTAGCCCCTTCCCCCAGCCCTGGGTGCTCTTGTCTGGGTTAGGTACAAGGACTTACCCTGGGGCCTGGAAGTCTCTCTGATACTGGCTGATGTATTCCACATAGCCCGGGTGCTCTATACGTGCTACTTTTCTGCCCTGAACATGAGTTGAGAATACTGACTGCCCAAGAAGAGGTTTCTGGAAGGAAATCTGATGAGTAGTGGTCATGTCGTAGTCACCTAGGGGGAGCAAGAAAGTGTGCAGAGGGCCTCCCCTATGTGGGAATGTCATGAGATTAAAGGTGGGGAATGTGGACCCCACCTCTCTCCTGCCGACTGGCTCAACTTGGCTAAACCCTTTCTTGTTTCTAGTCCTTTCCCCCCCTTTTTTGTTTAATGGGGATAGCAGAACCAAAATATATCAGCATTGTCTCCTCCAACATTCTGACCTTGGAGTTGTCTTCCCAAGACCAGAACAAAGGGTCTTTAGTGTGGAATCCCAGAGTGGCCTCCCAGTCCCTCTTAAATCACCTGAATTTTGAAAGCCTGGACTGCCAGCTGGCCTAGCCAAAGTAGAAAGGAGGGAAGGCTAGGATGGGGTGGTTGGGATGGTGCCTTCCCAGAGGATGTCCTTGTAGCCAAATATTACCTGAGGGGTTCTTGAAGAGGGAGGGCCGGGACCCTTGCTTCTTACGGTATTCTCCTGGGTTGGTGGTTCCCACCACTGGGACGTGTCTGGGGAATGAGGATGCTCCTGGGTAGGGTGAAGTAAGGTGGGTTAGGGACAGAGGATTCGGATTTTGCTTTATGCAGAATGCCATTCCTCTGTCTCCTATTACCTGCACCCCACCAGGCTAAGTCTCACCTGGATAGGAGGATTTCTCCCCACAGTGAGTCATAGGCTCTGTCTTCCAGGGCTTGAAGCTTTCTCCATAGGTTGTACTGAAGGGGACCCATTGAGGCTTGAAGTACTGGCCAAAGTTGCTTGGGCGTTGCATCTTCAGTTGAGCCACACAGAGGGGCTCCAGGCGGTATTTAATATCTCCTGGAGCTATTTCCTCCTCGGCGTCTAACTTCTGGAAGGCAGCTCCCTGCTGCTGTGTCCCCTTGGTGGGAAGTACATTTTGTTCAGGGTGGTCCTTCTCACCTTCCCTTCATTAATGGGGCTGGGCAGGGGAAGTCATCAGTGGGGGTCAGTCTCTTAGAGTGAGAGGTCATCAGGGTCACTTTCTAGCAAGTTACTTAACTTCTCTGAGCCACAGTTTCCTTATTTGTAAAATCAGGATAACATATTCCTTTCTAGGGAGAGGATCTGAAATAAAGTATCTAGCATAATGTCTGGCGTCTAGTAGGTGCTTAATAAATAGTGTCTTCTCTTAAAATAGTAAGATACCTCCAGAGCGTGTCTGCTGCAGAAGTGGCATGTGTCCTCGGTCTCTGGTGACCTCACTGTCACTCCTGACCTCATCTGAACATCAGGGTCACTGTTCTCTGGCTGTGTTTGGAGAGCCAGCATCTGTTGCTGGGTGGGATTGAGGGCTGTCCTATTTGAAGAAGGGTAGTCAAGCAGGCGAAGTATTCTGTCTTCAGGAGTGGTGGTGGGGGTGTCTAGAGGAAGGGGAGGAGAAGTGTTTGGCCTGTTCTGGTGATTCTTCCCCATGGCAGCCTGCTGTTACCCATTGCCCCCACTAAGGGACAGGTGGTTGCTGGTGGTAGTGTCCATACAGGACCCAATTTTTTTTTCTTTTTTAAGAGATGGGGTCTTGCTCTGTCACTTGGGCTAGAGTGGTACAATCATAGGTCACTGCAACCTTGAACACCTGAGTTTAGGTGATCCTCCTGCCTCAGCCTCCCAAATAGCCGGGGCAGCAGGCATGTACCACCACACGCAGCTAACTTCTTATTGTTTTAGAGACAGTCTTGCGATGTAGCTCAGGCTGGTCTCAAACTCCTGGCCTCAAGTGACCCTCTGAGTCGCTGGCATTACAGGCATGAGCCGCCATGTCTGGCTTTCCAATTTGAATTTATTTGAGGTTAGGTCAGTAAAAACTGGTGGTAAGAGTGGAGTGGGGTGGGTCGTTCTCTGCATTTAAGGGCATATGGCATTTCAAAAGCAGTTACTTTTTAGTAGCATTTGAGGTTTTTTGGTTGTTTCATTTGACCTTGAAAGTAGTGTTGGTTGGGGCGGGGTGACTTACCACAAAGTTGGTCAGCGGGGGCCTTCCGTGTAGATGGGCGGGTCTCCAGATAGAAGGGCAGCCCATCCACGGGCTTGGGGCAGCTGCTACGGGATCTGTGTCTCCTAAGGGGCAGGGAAAAGAATAGTCTCTAGGAGCATAAGATGGGTCGAGCTGAGGCAGGGGTCGCTTCCAAAGACTCCTTGGAGTCATGGGGACTTCAAGGTCTCCATGAGACCTTGAGGAAGCCCCTTCAGATCCTCAGGGAGAAGGAGGAAGGGTGGTCCTCTGCACTAGCCACATTTTGGACACAAGTAGAACTTATGACTCAGTGTGTGAGGTTCAAGGGTGGGAGATTGGGAGAGGGTAGGCAGCTTTTTAGCTTGTGAAGAAAGCCCCCCTTTTTGCCTTTGTAAATTGGAGGAGACAGAGTGGGGTGAGGAATGTAGGTGTCCTGCGGGATGGAGAGGGTGAGCTGCCGAGGGCCATCTTACCCGCAGTTGACGTGGGGAGGCTGCAGTTGTAGTGGGAGCGGGTAATGGGAACTCTGAGAGAGCTGTGTCTGGACCGCTAGGTCTGGGCAGGGCCCAGGACAGGAAGCGTACTGTGGTGTCTGCCTGTGCACCCTGCTTCAGAGAGGGAAGCAAAGAGCAGGAGCTTTGGGACAGGGAGGGGAGTAAGAAGGGGGATGCCAGGTAGTGATGTGACTAGGGGACACTCACTCACAGTCTCAGAGCCTACAGAGATGGCCAAAGAGGGCACTTTGACTCACTGGCCTTCTGGGTCATATTGGATGTAGCTTCTCTGCTCAGCCCTGTCTGCTGTCCCCAGCTCCCAAGTGGGCGCCCGTGCTTTGGCAAATGGACTTGGGTTCTGAGGTTTGGTGTCAGGTTGCCGTGGGCCTTCTGTGAAGGTGAAAACCACTACCCTGGGTTTGGGAGAGGAAGTGGAGGCAGCTGTGTCTCCAGTAACAGACTGCCGTGACTAGCAGCTAGGGCAGGGGGTGATTGTGGAATTAGTTATGACTTGAGATTTTTGGGCCTTGTCTCTGCCACTAGTCTCAAGTCCAGTTCTGGATCTCCATAGTGTGTGTGTGTGTGTGTGTGTGTGTACACTCTACGCATGTGCACGTCCAAGCGCTGGCGCTTCAGGTGTCTCTCTTTTCCTGCCTTCGTGTGTGTGTGTGTGTGTGTGTGTGTGTGTACACTCTACGCATGTGCACGTCAAAGCGCTGGCGCTTCAGGTGTCTCTCTTTTCCTGCCTTCGTGTGTGTGTGTGTGTGTGTGTGTGTGTGTGTGTGTGTGTGTACACTCTACGCATGTGCACGTCCAAGCGCTGGCGCTTCAGGTGTCTCTCTTTTCCTGCCTTCATCTCCACTCCATCCCCCACCCCCACATGCACTTACCAGGTGTTGTCCTGAAGGTCGAGCTGCATCTTGTCAGCTGTATAGATTTGCCAGCAGTTGGCTCCCTTTGAGAACCTGGAATCACAAAATAGGAATCTGAAGAGTTGGAAGATACCTTAAAGGACTTCTCTTCACTCCACTTTCTCCATACCAATTAAGTTAAAGTATCTTTCATCAGTTTACTAGCTCAACGGCTGTCCCCCCCCTCTAGTCCCATGGAAATGCACTGTTAATTCTATTAACTCTAGAATCATGGTTAGAAAGGGTCTTCAACAAGAACTAATCCTCACACCTACTCCAGTGCTGGGATTCCCTGGCAACACACATTTCTGTGAAGTGCTGTTCCCACCCATGTTTGAACACTTTCTACTCTGTCACCCCTCCTGGGACATATGTATTCCATTCCTGAGCAACTCTAGCTATTTTCAATTGTCTTTCCCACGGCTTCACCATTTGTCTGAATTATCCATCTTGCAGCTTATAAAAACAGACTAACCCTTTTCTATCTGACAACATTTTAGATGTGTTAGTATAAATCATCTTCCTATGCCCTACCTGCTTTCCTTCCTGGGGCCACAAGGTTAAGGTAACAGGAGGAGAGTTTTGTATTGAAACATAAGAAAGGAAGCGGACAATCTTTCTTGTAGTAAGGTAGTAGGAAATTAATCTTCATACACAGATTTAATCGTGTTTACAGATACTTCTCACAGAGGACCACTTTCCTCCACCCCCAATCCAACAGCAGAACCAAGCATGACAACCCGTGCTGGGGCTGACACAAGAGGAAGAGGCAGGAGGAAAAGGATGAAGGATGCTAGGAGAGGTTTGAGGTCAGCGGAGGTCTGTAGGGATGCCTTGGAGGGATGCCTGGAGGTTAACCCTGGAGGGCGATCTCATCATGGGTCCCAAGAGTCATAGACAGAGCTCAGGGACAGACCGAATGGGCCAGAGGGACCATTCCCAAATCTCTACCGTCCTGCAGTGGTGGATTGTTGTGGGTTGGAATGTATCACATGAGCCTTGAGCAAGAGTGACAGAACCGTCTCTGGGATTCCTGTGGTTGAATGGCTGACAGTAAGGCATTTTCTGCCTTTATTGTGATACCTCCTTTTTGTTCAGGAAGTAGTGTCACAGTTACATGGCCATTAGAAGAAAGCTGTTGGGCCCATTTGCCTTTTTTTTTTTTTTTTCCCAGTTTCTTCAGCTATCCATTTTACTCATGATTTTGAGCCCGACACTATCCTCTCCGAACTCACTCTAGTTAGAGTGAGCTGGGGCCGTGATGCTCAGGGTGCTCTGATCAGAGTGTACAGTAAGTGTCACTTCCCTCAGTCTAGATATTATACAGGTTATCCCAAAAGTCTCCATACAAAGGAAAAACTTTGTAAAATTTTGTGATGAATATTTTGTAAATGAAGGTACATTTAGCTACAACTTTCCATTTTCCCTGTGTATGGCGACTTTTGGGACACCCTGCATTTTAATCAGTTTATTTAGGATCCACTCAGCTTTTACAGTGACTACACCACACCATTGGTTCCCACTGCTTGACCTATTGTCAAAGAGTTCCCATGACTGCCTTACACATCCTGTGAGAGAGGAGATGGAGCCATGTTGCCCCCATCTCTTATTTGTTCAGTTGGCATTTTGGATCCAATATAGTTACTTTTGGTCTCTGGAAATCCTACTTTCTTGTTCTTCTACACTTTCTCAACATGAAAGGTGGTGGGATGCTGGGCTTCTTCTTGGTTTTTCTTGGTCCAGGAAAGGAGGAGGCTGGGTTGGGGATTATTTGGACCCATTCCTGCTCCTGAGGCTCATGCTGGCCTCATGCTGGAGAGGACTTAGCTTCTGAGTTCCAATTTGGAAAGTCTTTTGGTGTGAACTAAAGAGAAAGTGCTGACAGAGACAAAGCTGCTACTCAAGCAACCATCTGTGATACTGGGAGACCCCCCAGCTTATGTGGCAGGGCTAGAAGGGCCCTATCTCCCCAGTCCTACCTAGGTACTCAGAATTAAAACTATTGCTACTGCTCTCAGGGCAGGATCTGCTTACTGATTCAGTCTTTCTTTGAGTTTTCATGGCACTTTGAAGACATTTATCATGCTGTTTTGTGGATTGTGAGATCCAATGGTCAGGAACTGTCTCTTACTCATTTTCAAATCCCCAGCTCCTGGCCCAAGGCATTACACTGCAGAACTAATAGCTATCATTTATTTAGTACTACTATGGGCACTAAATGGAGGCACTTTCCATACATTAATCTTATAACCACCTAACAAAGTTGATGTTAACATTTTCATTTTGTAGGTAAGGAAACTGAGGCTAAAGACCACAGAGCTACCAAAGCCTGTGCTCTTTCTTCACATGACTGAATGAGTGTGGGGGTGGTCACTCGGGGTCAGAGGGGGCCAGAATGCATTAGTGCCTTCAAGAGGCCCCCACAGCTCCTTAGCGGAGGTTTCTAATCAGCTATGCTAATTGATGGTCATGTTTGTGATATCAGATGAATGATGAATTAGCACATGAACTTTCCTGTTAGATGTTCCTGGAGTGGCTCTGCCAGCTGACCTGGGGCCAGCGACAGGGAGCCTGTGGCTTTCTTGGGAACAGAGTGGGGGAAGCACGTTTATCCCAGTATCGACAAGGGAGGCTGAGGACAGGAACGTCCGCCAGGGTTGTGTGGGAAGCCGATTCAGGATGAAGCCCTTGTCTACAGGATGTGTCCAGTCTCAGCATTCTCTCAAGGCCCCTGGCAGCCTGACTTACCCACCTCTTCCCTGCATTCTCTGAACCTTGCGCTGCGCCTGGCCAAACACCACTTTTTTAGGCCTCTGCTTTTTCCAAGCTACTGCTTTTGCCCTAGTCTTTCTCTTCCCAGCAAATCTTTACTCCTCCGTCAGGGCCCAGGTCAAATGTCATTTCCTGCGTGGAGTTTTCCCTAGCTCCCTTGCTGCCGGCAGAGGGGCAGAATTAAATGCTTCCTCTTTGGGCTCACTCTTGTAATACTTGTACCTACCTGATTCTAGTATGAATCTCTTTATATAATGATTATGATGTGTTTTTCTCCCCCTGCCAAACTGAGAGCTTATTCAAGGCAGAGACCATAGTCTCCAGCACAAGGACTGGCCTTTAGAAGACACTCAAATATTTGTCGAATTCAACTAAATGCTAGATTGAGGTTCCACTGCAGGTAAGAACTGGGCAAGTGTTCCAGAACTCAGCAGCTATTTTATTAATGATGTGCAGGTGTAGGGAGGGCATCTTTGAAATCTTCCTAAGGATTTTGTGAACTTTATTTTTCCTTTTCACAATAATCCTTTCCTGCACAGAGAAAAGGGGGACAAAATCCCAATTTGGCTCCAGCCACATCCCTGGGGGGAATGTTGGCATTAGGCTGCAAGGGCAATGGTGAGAGTGGGGATGAGACTGAGGCCCAAGGACCAATCAACCAGGGTCCTCAAACTTTTTAAACAGGGGGCCAGTTCACTGTCCCTCAGACCATTGGAGGGCCATTGGAGAGTGCGGCGTACATTCTACACATGCGCACTGTGGGCCCAGGACAAGTCCCTGCTAAGCAGGACAGGCAGTGACGGCAAAAACACCAGGCAGGCCAGATAAATGTCCTCAGCAGGCCGCATGTGGCCCGAGGGCCGTAGTTTGAGGACCTCCGATAGACTCTCAGCTGCTTGAGTGCAGGATGTGACTTCCCCTGCTTCCTGCAGGTCTGGCCACTGCATCATGTGGAGGGACTCAGGAGTGGGGACTTGGGAATGAGACAGTGGTGCAGAAAACCTGGTGCAGATAGATTTCCTGCACCAGCCCAGGGCCATGTTCTCACTGCCTTTCAGGGCTGTGTGGAGTGGGGACTGTCGCTGCTCTCTTGGTCCTCCAAATGCCACAACTGGTGACTTCTGATATAAAAACATGTGCATTTTTTTACTTTGCAGTTAATTACTCTGCAGCTAATTTGCATTAACTTCTCTGAATGACCGAACATACAGAAATTTCCTGATTTCTATGACCTCACTACCACCCTACAAAAAAACCCACAGTGGTCCCTATACCTCTGTTCTCAGAAATTCCTGACCCAGATGGGTGGAGAAAAAGGGGTTCCCGATGAGCCTTGCATCAACCAGGCGCCAGCACAGGATGAAGGACTCTGGGGTCCCGCACCCTGGAGCTGTTGCTGTGGCTTCTCTTCCTTGTCTCCTTGTCTCTCGGGTGGGTGAGGGAGGAGGTGTGTGGGCTTGTAAAATGTGTTAACTTACGAATTTTGTAGTTCAGGTGAGGGCATCATTTGGAGAAAAGCAGATGAAGAGTGGGGTAAAGGGGAGAGAGGCTTTGCCATCTAGGTGGGCTTTGCAGAAGTGCAGAAGCCCCTCCCCGAGCCTTACGAGGCAACTAGCTGGGTGAGGCTGCCCGGCTGCAATGGGGATGTGCACCTGCAGATGGCTCAGTGTTGCCACCTGCTGGACACATGGGGTGACAGCATTCTACTCCCTGCATGCTTCCTGCCCTCCTGCTGCATCTGTTCTTTCTGTTCCCTCTGTCAGTATTTCTCCCCACTATCTGCTTTCCCTCCTCCCCCAGGTAGGACTGTCAGGATGCCTTTGCCCTGGCTCAGGGCAGTGAACTCTGAATTTCCTCCTGTGGTGCTGCCTAAAAGGTAGTAGCTTCACCTCTGGGTCGGGCCAGAGAGGAGATTGTTCATCTCCATGCTCAGTGTTTCACCTGCTTCTCCCCAGGCACTCTGGGACCCTGAACTTGGCTGTCATTAGAGACCATTTAATTTATCATCCAAACTGGGATACTTCTGAGAGTGACGGGTGTGTGCGTGTGTTTGCTATTAATAATTATGCCGAGATAGCAGGTGTAAACCAGAATTGTCCCAGCTCAGCTGGAACTCATGGTAAGCATAGTTCTGAGGGTCCCTGGCCTTCTTTTCATCCCAAGGTGAGCTGTGGAAGGCCAAGGTGGCCAGCAGAGGCTGCTGCGGCACTAGCTATGTGTCTCACTACCTAAAAAGCTCCCTTCCCCATTCGGGGGCTGTGGGAGGAAGAAGGCTGGGGTAGGTGAGGTTGATTGTTGTACAGGGCTGGAATACCCTGAGAAATGATGGACCAGAGTGAATTATTGCCTCATCTGGGCCTGCTTTACAATAGCATAAGAAGGCTATGTGCTTCCTCTCATTTGGGTTGGGGACACAGCCCAAAGCCTTAGGGCCCAGTTTCTCAAAAACTCCCTATAGGCCAGGTGTGGTGGCTCACGCCTGTAATCCTAGCACTCTGGGAGGCCGAGGCAGGAGGATAGCTTAAGCTCAGGAGTTTGAGACCAGCCTGAGCAAGATCGAGACCTTGTCTCTACAAAAAATAGAAAAATTAGCTGGGCATGGTGGCATGCACCTATAGTCCTAGATACAACAGAGACTGAGGCATCACTTGATGATGCCACTGTACTCCATCCAGGGTGACAGAGCAAAACTCCGTCTCAAAAACAGACAAACAAACAAACAAAAAACAACCACCAAACAAAAAACCCAAAACAACAACAACAAAAACAACTCCCTGTAATTCCTGCATGGGACTGTGCCTTTCCTGAATTCTGACAATTCTTGTTCCTGCTTCTTCAGGCAAAGACTAGGTATGTGGGTTCCTAGTACTAGCAGCATATGAGGCCAGTGCCTTCCTGGGTGGCTTAGTGCTTGCATTCATTGGCGGGAGGCTCATGGATCAGCTCGGGGACACCCTGACCAGAGGGGACCCAAGGCATGTCTGGTACCTTCTCTGCCTGACCTTGCTGATAGGCTTGCAGGTGGGGGATTCAGACCAGCCTTAGAGTTCTGCAAACGAGAAGGGCTCCTGGAAACCTCCCTCCTCCCCCCAGCTTCGACTCTGGCAGTAAGCCCCCATTTCTTTCTTCCCATCCAGGAGACTTTCCCTCCCTTGACCCCTGGGTGCCGAGTTGGGAGGAATTGGGAGGAAGGGATCCTGTATTGGGATGTGGTCCCTCCCCTACTCTGGCTAGGGGAAAGCCGAGTAAGAGTTTGGTCCTTCCTGAGCTGTGATGGCCTGGCCCCTGGCTGCTTGTCCAGCACGAGTCCCTCGCTCCCATCTTCTCTCCCTACTCACCTGGAGGGAGAGGCCAGTACCAGGCTTTGCAGACGACCATGTGCTAGTCGTCATACTATGGTAAAAGGGGGGGGCGTGGTGTCTTAAGCTCGCTGCGGCAGAGCTGCCCTGCCTAAGCAGAGAATTCTGGAACAGCAATGGGTATCCCTGGTTGCCGCGGGGATTGCCATGGCAACATGCGAGGCAATAGCAGCGGGAGGCTGAGGTGGAGCAGGCCCTCTTCTAGGCTGGAGCAGAACTCCTAGAGTGATCAGAGGGGGCTTGTGGGTAAGCAAGAGATCCATAAACCCACAGCTGCCCCACGACACAGGGCAGTGGGCCCCTGCTTGCTGCCCCTTGTCGGTGGGAGCGCACGCTCCCTGGTACACGTCTGTGAGCACGCCACCCGGGCAGAGGGCCTGCTGCCGTGTGGAGGCGGAGGGCGGGGGGAAACACACTCACTGCAGAGATTTGTTTTCTCAGTACATCTGAAGAATGGCAATGGGTTTTAGACTGCTCCGGCCTGCTTCTCTACCTGGGGCACTCTGAGCCATCAAAGTTAACCTAGACTAGTAACAAGGGATCAATTACTGGCCTGTAATATGCTTTCCAACTTCCTTTTGCAGAAAGCAGCCTATTTGGGGAAAAAATAAATGAAAGTACTTTTCTGGATCTCTGGTGCCACTGAGCCAGTGTGATCCCCTCCCTCCCCTGTTGCCTTTGCCCACTCCTCACTCATTACCGCTGCTCAGTTAGCCAAGGCTGGGTTAACCCCTCAAGTGCCAGGATTTGGGCGAGGAGTGGTTGCTGTTGCCTTCTCCAGACATGCCCTCCTCCCAGCACAGTTCTCGGGAGTGCAGAGCCGTCCAAGTCCAGCGCTTGCCAACCTCCTCCCCACCCTCCCTCTGGCTGCCAAATCTGACTTTGATTAGCGTGTGGAGGGGGAAGAAAGCAGGAAAATAGAATATTAAAATCTTAATTCAATTTAAAACACTGTCATTCACAGGCATGCCAAACAGTGAGATGACTAATTATTATGCAAATGAGGCAGATAGAAAAGTGATTAATAATTGCACAAATTAAAAATTATTGTAAACATCCTGTGACGAGCGATAAGTCCGATGGAGAGGCGAGAGCGGTGGGCCGGGGAGGCCATGGTGGAGCCGGCTCCTGCATCCTTATTTCCTCATTAGGGGGATTTAATTAGCGCCTGATGATGGGGCTCGGTGCTGCCAGGGGTGGAGGAGTGGGCGGCCGGGGCCCGCGGTCTGCGCTGGATCCTCATTCCCTCTCCAGTTCCTCCTCACTGCCCCGTGGTGGGGCTGGAGCTGGCTGAGCAGGAAGAGGGGTGGGTTGGGGTGGGCGGAAGGCTGCCCACCAGGAAGGGGCGGGAGCTGTGCAAAGCTGCTCTGCTGCTTCCCACTGGCCTTTTACCAGTTGCCACCTCTGTCACTGAAGCCTTCAGGTCTGAGCTAGGGGTGATGGTGGGGGGCTCCCTGGGTGGGGGACTGGTGGGCATGTCCTGGCTCAGCCAGGCAGATTCCTCAGGGTCTAGTGAAGTGACATAGGAGCATGCTGACAGTTCTGCAAGCCCACCGTGAGGATGGACGGGTACCTGATGTTGCCCAGGGCCTCACCGTTACTCTGCGTCCAAGTTTCCCTAACTCTTCAGGGCACAAAGGAACCAAGTCAGTGTCCTGAGTCAACTGACTTTCCCTTCCCCGGTGTTCAGCCTGCATCCAAGCGTCCACAGCAGGGCATGCGTGGGAGTGGCCTTGGCTTGGCTTGGCTTGGTTGCTGCAAGGCTGGGGGCAGAGGAGCCCGAGCTCCTCCAGCCCAGCAGCAGCATCAGTGCTGTCCAGGGCATGCTGCCATCCTGGGCTCCACCTGCTGAAGTAGGGCAGCAGCTGACATCTTCTTCTTGACAAAACATGCTGGCCAGCGCAGCTGCCCCTACCAGGCCCTGGAGCCCTGAGCTCTGCGCAGGTGTGGATGGGGCTGGGGCTAGGCCTACACTTGGGCTTAGGTGGCTGATGATTTAAGATGTATCTCCCTGCTCTCCCCCAGCCATAGGGAGATGGTCTTCCATGTCCAGAGACCACAGAACAAGCTGGAAGGTCAGGAGCCTGAGGATGAGCTCTTGCCAATCAGAGGAGCAGTGGATGCTGGCAATCGTGGCAGGCGGGAAGGCTTCTGGAAAGGGCTAAGGGGGGGGGGAGCTGGCCTTTGAAAGTTGGAGAGAACTTTTCAAAAGAGGGTTGAAGGTGGGAAATAGGGATAACAGGGTTATCCAAGCCTTTATCTTTTCCCCAAGGAGCCCAGATTTTTCTAATGGGGCTAAGAAGCTGAGGTTTTCACAGGCCAAAGGTTGGGTGTCCCCAAATTTCTTCTCCTGGGACTGATGGATAATTAAATTTTTTCCCCCTGGTGTGGGTTTGGGGATAAGAAAGGGTTACTTCTGTTTACAGACTCACACAGTTCTCCCAGGCTTAATAACCTGCACACAGCCTTGCCACCATGGCCACTAGTCCCTCTACCACCCCCGACCCCGATCCTGCCAGTGTCCTGTCTTCACTGCAGCCACAGGGTTTTTCTAGTCCCATCCTGATTACTGGAGGGAATTCCTATGTACCCAGTGCTGGGGACGCTGAGCTGCAGGTGGTCCCAAGGAGCTTGAGCCTCTTTGGGAAACAAAGGAACAGTATGTGCAGAGAGAGGCCCAGCGGAGGGAGGACAGAAGTTTGGAGATTGGCAGGGAGTCTGGGCCAAGTGGAGGACAGATTGTGTTGGGCGGGGAGTGATGGGGCTGAAGGGGCTTTTGTTCTATGGAATTTCAGCACTCCTGTGGGCTCTGAGGAGGCAAGAAAGGACTTTATGCAGGGAGCAGGCATGACTAAAATTGTGTTTTCGAAAGACCATCTCAGCAGCAGCGTGGAGGCGAGCACGGCTGGAGGCAGGGTCTCGCCCGCAGGCAGTGCCGCCATCTGCGTGAGAGACGATGGACTGTGGCCGTGGTGTGTGGCTCAGGAGTCACAGAAAGGGGAGAGAAGCTGGCACCTGGGGACTGTGGGGGAGGAGAGATGGGTCCAGGATGACACCTGGGCTTCTGGCGTGGAGGGCTGCTATTCCCTGAGAAGGGGCATCCGGGGAAGGAGAGATGATGATGATGCTTTGGGAATCTTGGGAGTGACTAAACTGGTTGGTCACCTGGGACAGAGTAAGCATTAAATATCTGCTAGCTGATATTGAATATGCCCAAGTTTGGTGCTTTGTCTATTCTGCCTTTTTTTATTTCTTTCTCTGACCATGTCTAGGTCTTGAAAAGGGGGCTTGGTCTTTCCCTGGAACTTGATCCTGACCTTCTACCTTTCAGATGTTTGCTTAGTGGGCATCTGTGCAGTCTGCCTGCTTGTAGCAGGACTTTCGACATTTCTGCTACTCAGCTGTGCCTGCATTTCCACAGCCTCCTCTGCAGGCTCCTGTTAGATTGGAAGAACCTACATATGACCTCATAGCATTGGTCTTGGGGGGATGTTACCTCTATTCTGGGCCACAGGGAAGAAGGCCGTTATCCGATGAGGCCTAACAGGCAGGTACTGCTATACAATCCTTTCTAGATCCCTGGTGCGCAAGCCCCAAGACGCACAGAGGAGGGCTTTGCTGTTGAGCTAAGTCCCCTGCCAGCCCTACTGAGTCTTACTACTTCAGCCCTGCAAGGGCCCTTCCTGACAACAGTCCTGCCTCTTCTGTGACCTACATGCCCACATTTCACTTGTGCAATAAACCACAAGGTGGGTAGTATCCCCACTTTTTTAGATGCAGAAACTGTTACCCAGAGAGTGTAGTGATTTTTCCCAGAGTCAGTAAGTGGCAGGGAAAGCCCTGAAGGCAGCTCAGACAGGTCTGACTACACCCCCTGCCGGTCTAGAGCCCTCAGAGAACCAGAGAGAAGGCAAATCCCAGGGCCAGAGATGCACAGGGTGGGGAGGAGGAGGCAGTGGGCTCTGGGCTCCTTCCTTCCCTCCCTACTTTGTTTTCTTCTTTGAATCACAGGAGTCTCAGTTCCCAGGAAAGAAAGGAAAGTGGTTAGGACTGGTTGAGCTGTCCTGGTTTCTTTGGAGTGAAGCTCCAGTTCCTGGGGGCTGTGGGGGTCAGAGCCACTTTCTCTAGTTTCACCCACCCACTCAGGGTCCATATTCTACATTTAGTGGCTCACCAGACCCACAGACCAGCCCAGATGAACCCAGTTCCAGCGTCGGCCGAAGGTTTTGGGCGCCCTCCTGGGGCCTGCCCTCAGCCCTGGTCACAGCCTCAACTCTAGGTCTGGATTGTGCATCAGCCAGCCCCCAAGCCCCCTCCCCTATGAGAGCAGTAGGTGTCCCCATGCTGCCCACATTAGGACCCATCTGCTGGGCTTCCACTGGCTGCCTTCCCTGGCATGGGAAACCTCGTGAGGGCAAGGTGACTTTGAACAGTGCCAGCTCAGCGTGTGGGGGCATGGGAGCAGCCCTGCAGGCAGGGAAAGAGGAGAACTAGCCTGGGTCTTTCAGCTGGGTCCCTTTGCTCCTGGGAGGGTGGATGGAAGGGCAGAGAGGTTGAGGGCAGGGAGTCAGCAAGGAGGATGAGGTCCAGAGCCCTGGTTGAGGGTACTGGTTGGGGAAGTCTGGCCAAGTGGGTTGGCTGCCCCCTACCAAGGACTCTGCCCCCTGCTCCAGCCTGGGCACAGGGAGGAGAGAGGAAGGGCTCCTGTCCTGTAGTGGGCAGCAGCCTCCCCGTGTGGACTTGGGTGGGGGAGTCTTAATACACCTTGGCTCCCGGCCAACCTGCTCCCCCCGACCTGCTGGCAGGCATTGCTGGAAGGCGTATGAACGGAGGGTTTAGGCGGTTTGGAGACAGACTGCCTGGGTCCATATCCCTTCCTCCCTCATACTAACTGTGTGACTTTGGACACATTACTGAGGGTTTCTGAACCCCAATTTCCCCATTTATAAAAGGTGGCTGATAATGTTACTTGCCTGTCACATAGTAAATGCTCAATTTAGAAAACTGACTTATGATATATGCAGTTTTCTGTATGTATGTTACGCTCCTTACGATCACACTTGCACACATATGTGACTAGGCAGGAGCTTTCTACGC